GGATTTGAACCCAGTGACTGAACGGCTTACGAGCTTGCCTTGTAACCTGAAGGTCATCAGTTCGGACCCTAGCGTGCACATGCAGCTGAAGAGTCTCTAATCGGGACGGAAAGGCTGTCTAGTACTCTCTTGTTTTCCAATAGTTCTCTAACTAGTGTTAGCTGGTAATCAAAACAGTAGCCAACGCTTGAATTAGTCAATTACTCAGCACATATTTTATATGTACCAACCTATAAACCAGACGACTTATTGTATAAGAGCGCTCATGAGATACTACCTAGTTTCAGTTTAAGACCAATTGGTTGAAAACCAATTACTTATGCCGATGAACTATATCTTCACAAGTCCAAAAGTCGGACGAAACACTCTTGCCCTGGATTCCTCTATTAGGCATTACCGAACAATAATTTGTAAGAAATGATAATTAAGTGACGAAATAAAGTGATTTTTACATACTTTTTTCTTATTATTTCCGCTACCATTTAAGTATGCAAATTTATAAGAGACAAGAGGCAACTTTTTTTAACTTAATATTTATACAACATTATGAGTAAAAATGAGTTTTAAAACAGTCTATGATTTACTTTATTTTGTCGCTGAAAATGAAAAGAATAAATTGTAATTTGCATATTTTCAAGTATTGGTTTTTTGTAGGGATTTTTTTAGTTTAATTGGTTGGAGGATTTCATCATGAGATGACATCGGTTAGCGAACCATTGGAAAACCTGCCAGCTAGCTATTTAGTCCGCCTAGTTTGGGACTCTTCAGCAGTACGCACCCACAACAGGAGTTTCGAACCCAAGACCTTCTGGTTACAAGTCTAGCGAGCTCGTAGATCATTAAGCCACTGGGACCCGATGATCCAATGGCCAGCCTATGAATTCTAACTTCTGCCAATTCATGACATAGCGTGACCACTTTGCAATGTCTTCTTCGATGAGTTACTACCTTACCTTCAACCTGCTGTACCCCACTGGTCACGACTTCCCACTGGAACCCCAGGTTAACTGCCTGAATAGAGCCAGTCGCTAGTCAGCATCAGATCAATTTTCAAGTATTGGTTATCTTCTTGTAGGGATTATTGTTTGATTGGTTGGAGGATTTCATCACGACGAAACAGCTGTCCAGTACTCCCTAGTGGTTTTCCGATGGTTCTCGAACTGATGTCAGCTCATGATGAAATCCTTCAACTAATTTGTGTATCTTATGCAATTAATTAGCCTTAAATATTATTATTTAGAATGTAGTGACACTGTATGACTACGTAAGCATCAGTATATATGTAGAGCATGATTCCAGTCTGTGACTTACAAAGTGGAAGTTGAGAGTATGTGTATATACATATATGACAACAAACTTCTTGTCGATTGCCTCCACTCGTCGAATACCAGATAAAGACCATTGTGACACATTTCAAGCACAATTTATTGCTCATAGATATGGTCTGATTATGTATGAGTAATAAATTATTGCTTAAAATGTTATGAGTAAATAAAGATTACTCTGTTTTAACTGTGTACTATAAAAAAATAAAGTAAAATTGCTCCATCAAGTAATTAAAATGCATATTTGCCCGTTGGACTTTCGATTTTGATTTAATGACACCTCTGAATGCTACACAATGTGAACTTTAAACACAGGTGTAGGATATATCTTACGACATTAAAACCATTGGATGATTTACATGAAGTACTTAAAATTGTATAACAAGTTAAGGCAAGGTAGATTTTATCAAAAGTTGACATCAATGTGTGTTTATAAATTCATCTGCTCATGTGGAGCTAGTTATATTGGCTGCACAAAGCGCACGCTTTCCAAACGCATCTCTGAACATTATCCGGCATGGCTAGCCAAGGGACAGTGTAATACAATTACTAGCTCAATTCTAGAGCATTCGGTGAACTCAGGCAACGTAGCTCCCCCGGAGTCGTCTTTCAAGATCATCTACAAAGTGAAGCCAAATGGTACAAAGGGTGTCAGGTTTCGGCTTTTATGTATGGCGGAGGCTCTGTCAATTCATCAATACAACCCTGATCTCTGTATACAGGAAAAGTTTGTCCAGTCTCTTATTCTACCTTGGTCTTAACCTTCTCACTAATCGTTACCTGTTAAAAAAAATTTTGATTTTTTCTTTTCTTTTTTGTAATTTTTAATTTTACTTTTAGTTTGCTTTTGCTTTAATAATTAATTCACTATTATCACTCTCATATGTTCCCTTTGTGCGTTTTCACACTCTCTTCACACTTATTAAATTGACACTCAAATACCTTTATTCTCACTCAATAGCAATTTTAACCTTAACAAATTTCTATCTTTGTTCCGTTGAGTACCACGTAATTTACAACTTTTAATTTTCACTTCTAAAGCCACTTCTGAGTAATTATATCGATTATGTCACCCCCTATTACTCAATAATAGACCACTATATATTTTTGTAAGTATAAATACGACTGTACAGCCTCTGAAAATGATTTCGTCGATAAAGAAAATTTTCTTCGCTGAATCTGTCTTTTATTTTCTTCATAATTCAGTGGGTATTTTCGGTGAATTAGTAAACTACTTAAAATTAGGGTACACTAAGGATGCTTTGATAAAGTCTCACAGTGTTATACAGTAATGTTTACTGATACAATAATAAAAAAGGTTAAGAAATCGACAGCGGAATTAATACGCAGAGTGAAGCCGTCACTGGTTTAATTTAATGCCTAAAACTAATAGTGTTAGTAAGATGTATGGTACTACTAAAATACACAAGCCAGGTTACCACATACGACCAATAGTAAGACTTAAAGAATACCCCTACTTATGAATTATCAAAACAATTAGCTCTAATATAATGCCCCATTAGAAATCGTTCAAACTCTAGACTAACTAATTCATATGAGATGAAAAATAAAATAAATGACATTCAACTGGAGAATGATGAAACAATGGTTAATTTTGATATAACTAGTCTTTATACTAATATACCAATCACTATGGCCTTAGAAGCAGTTAAAAGAGAACTAACTGCAGATCCTGAACTCACTCATAGGACAAAGCTGCCCATTGAAGAAATTATTTTAGGAATTCAGTTATGCCTCACATCTACTATCTTTAAATTCCAAGGCAAAATATATAGACAAACAGAAGGTGTAGCAATGGCATGGATCACCAATATCCCCTATAGTAGCAGATATATTTATGGATAGCTGGGAAAATATGGCTCTTAATACGTTTAATCCTACTCCAAAAATATGGTGGAGATATGTGGATAACAATATCACTCACAGTGTTAAAAAACAGAACATATCTCTAGCTTCTTGACACACATAAACTCACTAGTGGAGGGAATAAAATTCACATTTGAATCGGAAAATGAAAAGGAGAATTAGTTGTGGTGTTAGATTGTAGAATAAAACGAATAAATGAAGGTAAACTGCACACTAGTGTTTGTAAAAAGCCAACGCATTCTAATAGATATTTAGACTTTAATTCGTCTCATCCGTTATCTGTCGGTGAAGCTGGGCTTAGTTAAGTGTCTAAAAAACCGAGCAGTAGCACTAAGTAGCACAAGAAAAGACCTAAATGATGAAATAAAACAGATAGAAGAAGTGTTGGTATCAAATAACTCAGCGATTGCACTGCATACATTAACATCCAAAGTAAGATAAGTAGGTGGAGAGAGAGGTTGATTACTGAATCCTTGTTCATCGAGGCTACACCCAACACTTGCAGTAGGAATGGCTCATCACTCATACCGGAAATATGGAGAATATTACTACCAATAAAGTGAAGCGATGAAAAATAATGGAATTATATAAAAGAAGTTAGAAAGTTGTGTGAGTACCTTGATATGATTGTGAGTAGCAATAAATTGTGCTTGAAGCGTCAACAGTAAATATTACTGTATGGGAACGCTGTGAGACTTTGTCAAAATAAATTTTACCTATAATGGAATTATACTCTACCACCACAGTGCACAAGTTTTATTCTTATATCAATGATACACTAAAGATGAGTTTCGTTTCATCTTTAGACACTACGGAGATACACAAGCGTGATCAACTTATGTATCGAACCCAGGATGATCAGGTTACGAGGCAAGTTTGTTGCTTTCCAACCATTTGTTTGGAATCAAATGAACAATGAATTTTACTGTCTGTCAATTAGCAATACAGTACCATCTCAACAGAGAAGATCTAGCTTGGCAGGTATTTGTCCTCACACCCAACCTAACGGACACCACCTCTCACCAGAACTCTAGACATTTTCCTTCTTGTATATGCCTACATATAATTATCTGAGTTAATTTGGTTTCCAGAATAAGCTGTTATGAAATTTCACGTTGGACTGCAAATAGCGGATTGGATCACTTTTTTAAACTTCATCCAATACCATGTATGATCATTCTTGACCAAGATAGTCAAGTTCCCAAGTGTCTTGGACCACACATCGCGGATTCGAATCTCAAAATTGAGACTGATTATTACGGCATATAAAATCTAGTTCTCGGCAGACGTCTTTCTAGCATCTTGCCTGATTGAATCACTCGGCTAGCGAAATTGCTTTCCACCAAAATGCTCAATTTCCTATGGATTTATCATTGTTTTAATCTTTCGGTTATATTAAATGACCTTCACATAAAATTGCGCGCTGATTTAACTTGCTTGTGTTACAGAAGTAAGCGCTGTGTAATTCATCAACGAAATGAAGATATACTACAGATTATTACTTTGCATGAGAATCCTGTATGAAGAAAAAAAGTATTTTGGAACTGAATACAATGAAAAGTTTTGTATCATATATTCACATATTGTCTGAAATAAAGTTTTATTATTATTACCTGACATATAGTTAGGTAGAAGGAGTACTGTTTAACATATCTCTGTATTCGCAATCATTAACTAGTCAAATCATCAAAAAGCCTACAAGAAGGCTGTAAATTCATAAAAATAAGACTAGTAATAAAGATTAGGAGAGCACACAATTATAAGCATAACTAATAACCATAAACATACCATTTTCACCAGCATATAAATGTATGGACCAGAAAATCTCCAGATTTGCATTAATTCCAGAAATCTCATCTGCCTAAAAAGAGATAAATAACAGTAAGAAGATATGTTAAAAAATTTGCGGGGATACTTGATGAGTTCTAGATTATTCTATTGTTAATGGCTCAAGTATTTTTAAATCCTTGTTTAGCCTACTGACTTTTGAACATTCATATACGAGTGGCTTTACTGGATATCTCCGCTAATTGCAAAAGTCGTAGTTAGTTGCTATGGTGGTTTGATGACAACTTATATCTTTTGTATGCTTTTTAATTGAAATTTTGCATTAAAAAAATTTTTTTGATGTACATATTATCGGTAAAAAAATATATACTTGAACTGCGTTACATTTGCAGGCACTTTTATTAGAAAATGTTGCTTGATACTAATACCTAAGCAATGTAATGAATTAAAAGACGCAGTGAGTTCGAAAGTTATACTTATATTAATGAATTTTTATGAAATCATGTTAGAGTGTTTAGCCAATTTTTTGAAACTCCCTAATTTTATTTTTTATTTTATTCCTTTATGTTCCCAGTGTAACAAAGGGCTTCAAGCTACAGCCCTGAAGTTTCGGTAAAAGTGGTTTAATTTTTACCGGGTGGGATTGCTACTCTCCCGCCTGGCCTATTACCAGCTAAGCGAGGTTCGGAAATGCTTCTGCGGGGAATTGAACCCCGGACCACCTGTGTGGCTGGCAAGCATCCTATCTCTGCACCACCGACTCACGAAACTTCCTAATACCCACCAGATAAAGCAGGTGGTGCCACTACTTCAAGAAAGGGATATACCATATGATTACCCTTCATATATTACAGGTGACTCTGACACACACACACACACACAAATACACCATAAGTGTAACAGGTTATCCATAGTACAATTTTCATGTGGTCAGTGTTACTTTCCACACCGATAGGGTGTATGTAAAAGCAAAATATCAGATGATTAGCTACAAGGACAAGTTTATTGTCACTAGCAGTCAAATATCTACGAGTGATTGAACATTATGCATTTATTATATTTTGACTATTGATTAGGTCACATAATCACTATAATATATCAGATAATCATGACAAAAATGTGTGACAAAATACTTTTTTTCCTGATTATGGTTATTTTTGAGCATTTGGATCAATTTCAACGAAGATTTCATCACAAACCAACATCAGTTAGAGATCAGTGGAAGCCATAGACCACTGGACATATGGTTTGTCCTAGTATGGAACTGTTCAGCAATGCGCACCAACAACCTCACCAGGGGCCTCCGGGTTACCACAAAGTTAGAATTTATGGGTCACTGAATTTTGACCCAAATGGCTGAATGGTCAACAAGCTTGGTCTCATGACCTGAATGCCCCGGATTCGATCCCTGGCGGAGAGTCCCAAACTGGGACTAAACAGCTGTCCAGTGATCTCTCGTCCTCAAAGAACTCTAACTCATGTCGTTTCGTAACGAAACCTACATTGAGACAGATATGTTTGCTTTCAGTAGTGGGGATGAGTAGTGAATTATCATAAAAGTTAGTCTGATTGAAGAATATTCTTAGACTGACTGATTGGTCACCGGGATGTAATCAGGATCATGGACCTAATCCTTGGTGTTCGTATAGACTGAAATATATCAGTAATGTTTTCAATGTGATCACCAAGTTGCCTGGCTTACCAACATGATACATTTTAGATTTTGATGTGGTTGTGTTCTCTGAGCTGGATAGTTAATTTGCGAAGCTTTCATCGCCCTACTAGGCGACATCTTCAGCGCATACTTCAATTCGATGAAGTGAGCTTTTAGATTTCTCCATGAGTTTATTAGCCATCTCTCCTGGTGACCTTGGACGTGATTAGTTGTTTTGTGTGTTTTCAAACCTTCTAGGTTATTTGTATTGTCACTCATTGTTTCTTTGACTTGAACTTTGACCCTTTGTGTGTGAGGTTTCTTTCTTATCGGTTGATAAATTTTGTCTATCTCGATGTGTCTATTGATTGATGATTCACTGGAATGCCAAGCTTCTAAAATTTCTCTAGCATTCCTGTTGTTTCCTCTGTCTAATATTTGAACGTTGTCCCAGTCGAATTAATGTACGTGGTTGTCTGTATGTAGTGATATGAGGGGGTGGAGAGGTCACCAGGGTCATCAGGAGAGGTGGCTAATAAACTCATGGAGAAATCTAAAAGCTCACTTCAAATTGAAGTATGCGCTGAAGATGTCACCTAGTAGGGCGATGAAAGCTTCGCAAATTAACTATCCAGCTCAGAGTACACAACCACATCGAAATCCTCCACCTGAGCTACAAATCTTCTCTATCATATCTACACTTTAGATTATTAGTGTTAGACATTTTTGGGGCAATCAGTTGAAAGCCTAGGATCTAGGGTTAGAATCTCTGAGGGGACATATATTTACTTCAAGGTTGTTGAGACGCCTTACTGAAAAGTGCTTTCCGGGTCATCAAAGTAGATGGCTATTAAGCTCATGCAGAATTCTAATAGTTCATTTCATATGGAAGTTAGTGTTATCTAGAAAGGCAGTAAGTGACAGCTTTGCAATCAAACTATTCAATTCAGAGAATGCAACTACACCAACAGTGGTAAGTATTGCCTACTTGCCGAATAGACATGATCTAACTACTGGACGGTGTTTCCTACATTACGGCTAGTGTATTTTCGAAGTGTATCCGAATTGATTCAGAACAAGGATGCAAATTATGCTGAATATATTTATAAACTGTGTGTGTGATGCACATAAGTGTGTCGTTAAGTAGTTGGATAAAAAGCTTCAATCTTACTGGGGTTGTATACTAACTAGACTTCAGTAAATATTTGTAGACGTTTTGAAAGGAAAATCTTCAATAAGAAAGTTCTTTATGAACAATTCGAAAGAAGTTTTCGTCACAAACGCGTAGAAACTAAAGAGTATTGTACATTTAGTCATATTATTATCATTGCTCCCTTGGGTTCCGAGTGGAACATCTCTACTTTATCCTATTTTCTGCGGTTCTCTTTAGCTGGTTCCATGATAGCCTATAGTCTGTCATCTTCTCCTCACACAATATCTTCCATGTCACCCTCCGACCAACGCCCAACTCTCCTTTCCCCAATCTGGTTCCGCTAGAGCGATGGTCTGGCTCTCGGTGTCATTTGACGATCACCTCAGCATGTGTCCGATCCATCTCCATCTCCTTCTACATATTCACTGAGTGACAGATTCTCAACTGGTTCCTTCCTACAGCTTCTTGTTGCTAGTTCTTTCTACCTGGCCGTTTGATCTTCAGGATCGAGCCAGAGAGGTCAGATGTTGATAAAAGTCCTTAATAGCCCATTGAAAATATTTTACGTGACACTCCTGCGAAGTTTCTGACTCATATAGAAGAACTAACTTGAAATATGTATTGAAAATCTGAATCTTGTACCTCATGCCGAATGCAGAAGATTTCCGAACTGATTTCAGAGTGATGAAAGTCTGTCTTACTTTTTACAATTCTCCTTGGTTTTGACATCTTCAGCTGTGCCGACTGACATAGTTGGAACTATACTTCCTCGATAAGTGAAGAAAGTGACCTCTTTCAAATTCCTCCTAGTGATTGGTGCTGGCTGTCTTCTCTAAGTTTGTTGGTAGTCCTGTCTTTGCTGCTAGCCAGCGTCTTCTGCCAACTTGTTGATTTTTGCATGTAGATCTTGGATGCACATCATCTGCGAAATCCAGATCTTATAGTTAGTCGGCTGCATATAAATATCACAGTTCAAAGGCATTTTTCTTCCATTTAAGAATTTTACAAGAATTCAAATTTCAAAATCTCTGTGATTCAGAGAATTGGTGCGCGTGACACTAAAAGCATTTCCAACAGCTTTTCCCACGCAATCATCAACACCTACTTTCGTTCAATCAAATGACCAGGCAGAAAGAATAAGTAAAGAAAAACGGCTCTAGCAGGAGGTGAGCCAATCAAGAACGTAATGCTTAATAAATATGCTGAAGGGAACAGAGATGGAGCAGACATGCGCTGAGGGGACTGTTGAGTTGCCTCACATATTAGACCCTCGAGTGGAAGCCGAATGGGAAGCGACTAGTTGGGTGTCCCAGGGTGTCATCGAAAAGATCATGTGAAAAGGAGACGAAAGCTCATGGGAAGTCATGTAGCTATTCGAAAGTGATGCCACGGAACCGAGCGGATTGGAGACAGGACGCTGAGGCTCGTAAGGCCATGCAGAAATGGTGATCACGGTAACATGTTGTATAGCTTAATAACTATAAAATGCCATAGAACTAGATAGTTACACGGTTTAACATGCAGGCAACACCTCATCTGTTTCAAACACAAATAACCTACATAGATTTATTCGAAAGTATAATTTCTAAGAAAAAAAATGAGATAAGCAACACTTATTACTTATAACTTACCATAATGAACAGCATATAATTAACAGATTTTTACCCCACATATAATAAGTTGGATTAACTATGCCCACATAACGGATAACAATGCCAACTAATGATAAGAAACACATAATCATATCATATATATTCCAAAATGCAGTCAAGTGTACTGCAAACTTTTGAATATAACTTGCTCCTGGATTAAGCGTAACCTAAAAATACAAATGGAGAAATAAATTCATTCATTATTGGTAGAATATTATAGAAGTATTAAATTCTTAGTATAATCATGAGTTTGTATATTTTGAAAATGTTAACAATATTAGGAACAAATAATGGCATATAGTCACTTGTTACTTAGTGTCAAATCATACTGACTGACTAACAATGAAATCTAGGGTTTGCGCCTCGTCTCATTCAAGATAATATCAGCTAGATACATCCTCATCCCAGTGACTGATGAAACTCTAACCCAACACCCACGAAGGCCATCTCATTAACCTATTGGAAAACTCTTCGATGTTTCAAGCAACGTACTGGGGTACTTTGTTTGGACACTAGTCAGTAGTTAGTGTATTGCGTCTAGTCTTATCTTCGGTGTAAACTGAATTGGATCAGTCAAGTTTGCAATGTGGCGACCATGCCACTAGATGGCTAGCCATCATGGTGCACTTTGAATTTCTATGGCTGGATGGCTAGAGGCAATCAGCAGGAAGCCTTGCTAGACCTAGGTTTTGTGCTATTTGGCACTCACCAGTCAGCAAGGCATATCTGAAGTCTTGAATTAACTCATTTCACTTCTGAGATTCGAACACGCGTCACCCAGAGCTGTAATCAGAGACGTTACCACTAAGCTATTCGGACTGGTGACTGACCTCCTTTAGGACTGCCAATTATCACGAAACCATGGAGTTTCAAAAAAGCGGGATGGGGTCTTATTGGAAATATCGCTACTTTTTGGGATGCAGCACATTCATTTGATGAGTCCCAAGGGGGATGAGGTGCACATCCTGGATTCCAGCGAGAGTCATTATCAACCGAAATAACATAAAGCTAACTTCGAGATATAACTTAAGCGTTCGTACTAGAAGCTAAAATGTTAACAAACATGTAGTATTTACGCCCAGTGAGGATTAATCAACAGGAAATCCAAAATTATTTCAATAAACAACAAAAATAAAACAGAAGTTTACTCTCTTTTGGAGTGGAAAAAATTAAAGGTTAAAGACTTCTGTATTTGTACCAGTATTTTTTTTGATTACAGCTTGATTCCACACAGTATTTTTTGGTATAGGTATGGAATTTTCAGCATGTGATATCGTTAGCCCAAATTTTGCAGGCCAACCATAGATATCAGGTGTGCGTCGGCAGGGGATCGAACTCAGGACCATGTGCATGGTCGGCGAGAGTCCTAACCACTGTGCAACCGACGCACAGTAGTCTGCAGACCGCCATTTCGAATCCCCTCACGGCTCACATTTTCACTATACATTCATTACAAAAAATCAAGGCTATCGCTATTTATTTGAAAGATTTAAAGGTTTATAAAGTTCTTTTTATTTAGGAAGCTTTTCAGAAGGTCGAAGTTGATTCATGCAGAATTTCCTGTAGAATAACAAAATAATCTGTGGCAATGAAGGTATGTTCTAAATTTACCTTTCTTTATGATTCTAACTTGTACTTTTATCTCGACACAGAATCTTTATTCACCCCCTCTTAATTTGACTTATTCCCAAATATTTACTTTTGAAAACCTTTCCCTAATATGTTGATGTAAATTAAGACACCTTTAACTAGTAAACAGTTGCGAGACTTTATATGTTATGGTTGCATAAAAGCCAAGCACTTTAGTTATCAGATATACATATACAGCGTAAAGTTTTGTAACTACATGATAATTTGTATTTCATGAATGCTGAAGAGTTCAGCCTATATGCTCACGTCATTATTGCAGAAAATTTGGAAAGAAGGAAAGGTATCTACTGATTGAAAGAATGGTTGTCTTAATAAACTACCAAAGAAGGGAAACTTAGACCTCTGAAAAAACTGATTTGGAATCATGCATCTGACCACTCCAAGCAAAATATTGAGTTCCGTCGTTTTGGACAGACTAAAAGATGCACTAAATGGGGGAACTCCACCAGCCGGAACAAGCTGGATTCAGGAAAGGTAAATCATGTGCGGATGAAATAGCAACTCTACGCAACACAGTAAAACACAGAATAGAGCATGGAAGTTAAATTTCAACCTCAACTCCCTTCATCGACTTCGAGAAGGTCGACGACAGCGTTGGAAACTACTTCAGCACTATGGAGTGTAGTACCCTAAATCTATCAACCTCATTCAACAGATATATGACAACGGTACGTGTCAGGTAATCCACAACGGAAAACTCAGAGAAGCGTTCGAAGTGAATACAAGAGTAAGACAAGGCTGTCTACTATCGCCGATGATATTCCGGATTGTGGTTGACTGGATTATGCAGCACATTGTGCGTGTGGAACGAGAAGATAGGAATATGCTGGACCGATAAAAAGACTCTAGAAGATCTGGATTTCAAGGATGTGTTACACGAACTCGAAGATCTAGTAGCAAAAAAAACCAGTTGGCAGAAGAGGCAAACAGCAAAGACATGACCTGACGTCAGCATCGAGAGGACAGATATAGTGAAAATAACCAACCGACAGTGACAAGTAACAATGACTATCAACAGAATAAATTTGAAAGAGGTCTCTTAATTCACCTGTCTAGGCTGCATCGTTTCAACTACAGTTGTTACAGGTGAAGAGGTCAAAGTCAGGGTTGGAAAGGCAAGAAGGACCTCGATTAATTTAGTGGTTCTTTATGGTTCAGAGACCTGGCGCTTCACGGAAAGCACTTGCAACAGGCTACTGAAGACTTATCAACACCTGTCTCTACTCTGTACTGAAGATGAGTTAGCCAGCCAGAAAGGATAAGTATGTAACATGAACTCTCGAAACGAACCAACCGAGAACCTACTACCAAATAACTATGCCGAAGGAAATGCAGGTTGTTCGGGTATACACTGAGGAGACAGTCGGGTGACGTTGCGCGCCAGTTAATACTCTGGGAAGAACTCTGGTGGGGAGCAACGAGAGGGGCGTCCAAGGGCAACATGGAGGAGATCGTGTGAAAAGATGAAAGCTTATGGACAGTTGTCAGATCAGCTAAAGATGATTGCAGAAAGCAGGATGAAATGGAGATGGGATGTTGAAGTCCTCTATTCCACTTGGAAACCCCGGGAATTATAACCAATAACAAATAAAATAGAAATTCCAATGAAGTAAACAAGATAAGGATTTTTCAAAATTTGAAAAAATGAGAGAATGTCTCCATCAATGAAGCGATTATTAGGTTGCATTAATTAATTACAAGTCGATCAACTGACGATACACCTGAGCAACAATTTAAAGTTTACCGGTTCTTCTCCTTTACACATGTAAGATGAAGCAGTAATTGTTATGACACTAGGCCTGCATATGTATTCAAGTTGATTTGATTTTTAACAGATTGACTGTTTCCTATACACCTTTCTATTGATTGGTAAACTAAGAACCGATTTTCTTTGTCTTTGGAATGTAAATGAATTTTTACTGTTATTTTGAAAAAAAAATACCGTAGTGTGCTGTTTACGCTGTTTTTGTTTCTTAAATCCTACCATTTATCATCAACTGAATTCACTGTCCACGTGAATAGATACATACACTGTCAGATGATGTTCATGTAGATAAGGATAGGAAGAAGAATAATTAATTTCACACTGTCTTCTTCTTCTCTTGTTTGTATGCTTTGATTTGTACAGTGTATAGTGAAGAAATTTTGTAGGCTTGTATCTTACAATGTTTCCAAGTAAACTTTAACAATCCGACAGGTATTTCTGACTTTACTTCATCAAGCTGGACAGAAAACTGGAGCATACAAATGTCGAAGGGGACCTGGATTTTTCAGGGTAAGAAAAATCCCCCCTCATGTGATGTAATTAAGAACTCGATAGGTCAACAAAGAGGTCTCTTTTGTAACAGGATTTAATCATGAGTTGACATCAGTTAGAGAACCACTGGAAGACTCAGGTGTATAGAACAGGCGCCTCGTCCTAGTTTAGGACTCTTCATCAGTACGCACCCACCGGGGACCGAACTCAGGACCTTCTGTGGTTACAAGGCGAGCTCATAGACCAATAAGCCACTGGGACCCAATTCAGTGGCCCATCATTTCCAAATTTCTGCCAAACCAATACTTGAATATCAATGAGACGCTCACTAGCTGCTGATCCTATTAAGGTATGTGGTTATCAGGGGTTTTATTAGGAAGTCGTGACTAGTAGGATATGGCAGGTCGGGCGTGAGGAAAAATGCTCGCCGAAGACGTTGGCTAGTCATCACGCTAAGACGTGAACTGGCAGAATTTGAAATTTATGGGCCATTGGATCGGGTCCCAATGGCCTAATGGTCTACGAGCTCGCTCGCCTTGTAACCAGAAGGTCCTGGGTTCGAACCCCAGTGAATGCCTACTGATAGAGAGTTCCAAACTAGGCTGACGAAACAGCTAGCTGTCCAGTACTCCTTGGTGGTTTTCTAATGGTTCTCTAACCGACGTCAGCTCACGATAAAATCCTTTAAGCGATCAATCAAATCCCTACTAAGTAATACTTGAAAGAGATCTCCTTTCGTAAGTTAACTTAAAAGCTGTGCAGTTATTTAGGAGTTAGTAACAGAATAAATCAGAGTATATGAGAAAAAATAACAGTGTGTGGAAAAAAAGTGCCGTTACCAGTTCACTTGCTCCTGTAGAGTTAAGTTCACAGGTAATATCAGCAGAACACCGCTTAGAAGTGCTCGTAAACATTTATCAGCATGGTTATCAAAAGCAGAATGCAGAACAGTGAACAACTGTATTCTTGAACACATTATTACTACTGGTCATGCAGCATCAGCAGAGACTTGATTCGCAGTCGTATGTAAAGTACTATCAAGCCGTTCCAAAAAAAATACGCTGACATCTTATCCATGCAGCTGTAGGTCTACCAGTTCATAATAGGAAACTTGAAATGTGTGTTCAGAAACATTTCACCCAGTCTCTTTCCCTACTGTAGCGTTGGTATCAATTTCATTTTTGTAACCTTTCTTCAGTCCCTTGTGCTTTTTTATCCTATCAGTTATTCCCAGCTATTTCCAATTGACTACTGATCATTTAACTGATTAGTTGTCAACCTTCACGATTATGTAGGACTATTCACTTACTTACTCACTCACTCACTCACTCACTCACTCACTCACTCACTCACTCACTCACTCACTCACTCACTCACTCACTCACTCACTCACTCACTCACTCACTCACTCACTCACTCACTCACTCACTCACTCACTCACTCACTCACTCACTCACTCACTCACTCACTCACTCACTCACTCACTCACTCACTCACTCACTCACTCACTCACTCACTCACTCACTCACTCACTCACTCACTCACTCACTCACTCACTCACTCACTCACTCACTCACTCACTCACTCACTCACTCACTCACTCACTCACTCACTCACTCACTCACTCACTCACTCACTACCCTTTTCACACATTGTTATATCTTGTACACTTCTTATACGCCTGTTATACTAAAAATACACGGTTAAACATCAAGTCAAAAAGAGAACAGCAATCAATTGGTGGAATAAGTATACAGTCATCATCAGTCATCAGTGCATCTACCAAAAACAGACATCTCTATTCCATTTGCATATACAGGTGGGGTGAGGTGATTTTAAAACGATACTTTCTAAATATCTAGCACTGATTATATTCTCCTTGATCAAACCGAAAGCAGGATGAAAATATGGAAAAGTATATAAATGTACCGTGCATTGGTGGCACAGTAGTTAGGACGCTCGCCGACCATATACATGTTCCGGGGTTCGACCCCTGACCAACGCACTCCTTTACCTCACCAAACCAGTAATAAAAAAACCCGGTAAAGAGGAAAGGTTGGGCATGAGGCTAGCAACCTCATCCATCCTGTAAAAGTAAACACTACTATAGAAACTTCAAGCCTCTAGCTTGAAGCCCTATGCTCCACTGGGAACGTGAAGGAAAAATGTATATATATATAAATGTACCATGAATGTATTGAAATATATAGACTTCTACAAGAATGCTTGTGGAAGAGTTCAAAATTACTGTAGCACTACTCCGCTGTTGAAGAGAATATAAAGAAAAATACCTCTTAACTGTCTTCAAAAAGGAATGCATATCCTCACAATTTCATCAAATAGTATTTAAAGTTGAGTCACAACACCAACAAGAAACCATCATCAAAGACTACAAGCAAAATCCATCCTACCGTATATGACAAAAAATATCTCTGAAATTAAAACCGTTTGAAAAAGATATAGCACAGAAGTCAGCCAACCCAATCACTTCATTCGATATTGTGTAAACCGAGAAATCGAACAGAAAAATAAAATAAAATTAATCCCATTTACAAAATTAAATTATATGAACTGCAATTAAACATTACATCGGTCAAAGTGGGCATCCCCTTCGAATCAGAATACAAGAAGAACACAAATTAGCTGTAAAAAGACATGATATATATATATATTCTTTCATATCAATGCATGCAGATAATTATGGACACCAATTTGATTAGGATAATGCCAAAATTTTTAAGTAGAGGAAACAACAAAAGCGCCAGAGAATTCCTAGAAGCCCGGTACTCAGTTGAATCAGCCAGCGATTAACAAACATATTAATTAATACAGACAGAATTTACCAGCTAATAAAAAGTAAATCACATGACGAAAAAGTTCAAGTTCCAAGTCAATTAAAAAAAAAGATCAACAGAGATGTAAATCAACTACCAGTCACAATGATGGTTGACAGGAGACAAAATTCTATCATTCGTAGAGAATTCAAATGAATTCATTTTCTACTAAAACCTGAGTTGAAGATGTTGTACAGAAGGACGACGAAAGGTTTTCAATTAAATCATCAACCAGCTCAGAGAGCACAACTAATTCAAAATGCTTATCTTTGAAATTGCATAGACACTTATGATGTTTCATATGAATAACTACTTCTGCGAATGAACGTAGGCAATCTTCGTTCAAAAGAAGCAAGTCCAGCCCCTACTACTGCCCTCTCCGGCCTTCAGTAGAGATTATAAATTCATGAATTTGTATCATTATCTTTCCTAATTTCTCTGATATTCATTCTGTGTATTGTTATGTTGATGCTATTGAGCTGTAATCTATTGATTTTATTGATTCGATGTTATTTAAACATTAATGTTGTTCATAAGACTAATTCATTCATTCACTATAATGTATATATAACTTTAGAGCCTGATGATGAAGTTATCGAAAAAAGTACTCCTTGTTCAGTATCCATTCTTTTGAAAAATTGTAATGGGCATTTTAATCTTCGTTCTGTATATACGAAGTTGCAGGGATGCGTGTGAGCATTGATTGGAATTAAAAACAACATAGAGATTGACAAAATATACCAATCCATACGAAGAAATTCACACAAAAACAAAGTCAAACTTCAGGTCAAGGAAACAGTCAACACCAAAACAAGTGAACTAGAAAGTGAGAAGTCACACAAAAACAACCAATCACGTTCAGGGTCACTAGAAGAGATGACTAATAAACTCATAGAGAATTCTAAAAGCTCACTTCACATCGAAGTATGCGCTGAAGATGTTGCTCAGAAGAGCAATGAAAGCTTCGCAACCAAACCATCCAGCTCAGAGAACACAACCACACCAAAATCATCCACCTGAGCTACAAATCTTCTCTATTATATCTAAAACATTCCCTTTGGTATATTGAAGGGATTACTGCCAAAAAATGAGTTGTCGATTCGAGTGGAAGATGACTGATGACGGGTACATTGTGGTTAGACACTCGAATACTGAAGTTTATCAGTTCTATGAACCTGTGATGTTACATCTTGACCGGAATACCTTGACTATCTATCATCGACTTCAGATGCAAGTACGCCATACTGATGAGTGATGAAAAAGATAACACCTAAACTGACTGACGACATCATCCCCATTACATTCGACCAACAACAAAAGCCAATTGTAGCATATCCTTTGAGTGTTATCATCTAAATTATTGATCACACTGTATGCTTCATTGATAGACTCTTATGTTGAAAGTTAGGCAACCACTGATTGCTCCTCATTCGGTGACCGATTCGTGTCTAGTTAATTCACGAATACAAAGAAAACGAAACTAGCACAACAAGTGAATACACAGAGAGAAAAAGCGTTAAAAATATATAGTTATCAACGTTTACAAATGTGCTTACCTCACGAAATTTATCCAACCAATAGGTTACAATATGTAAATAGACATATAATTCAAGAAATGAAAATGTCGCCGGTGGTATAGTGTGTATACACAATCCAATAAATAGGATCAGGAAGACAAGATACAATAGCTATACAAGAAAAGAAATAAAGTGGAATGATGATGAACAGTAAAAAAAGTGTTTCATAATAAATCTGTAAGGTTTTATCATAGAGAAATTAATGGGGAAAACAGAATACAAACTTATCTGTGCATCCACATGGGTATATTTATGTATTATTGGCTCAGTTGAGAGCATTGCCTCAACTACAGGAGGAACGGACAAGGATGTCAAATCGAGAATTGGGAAGGCGAGAAACACATTCATCAACCTGAAACCAATCTGGAAATCTTCCGCTGTCACTCAGCCTGCATCAACAACAATATTCGGATTTTCAATACAAACCTCAAGTCAGTCAGTTCTTCTATACGGATCAGAAACTTGGCGGGTCACAAAGAATATTTCCAACAGCCTGTTGCAGACCTTTATCAACAACTGTCTTCGTTCTATACTGAAGATCAGATGGCCGGAAAGAACAAGAACCAACAAGAAACTATGGGAACAAACAAAACAAGAACCAATCGCTCAACAAATATGCAGGAGAAAGTGGAGATGGATTGGACACTCGCTGAGGAGGCCACTGGGTGACATCGTGCGTCAGGCCAACGCTCGAGTGGAACCCGAAATGGAAGCGGCGAGTGGTTCGTCGGTGCAAGGGTGACATGGAGGAGATCGTGTGAAGAGGAGCTGAAACAGTATGGACTAACATGGATGCAGGTGAAAAGTACAGCAGGAGACAGAAACAAGTGGAGACGTGTAGTTGAAGCCCTATGTTCCACTAGGAACCCAAGGGAACAGTAATAATAATAATAGTTATAATAATAATACTGACTGAGTTTCCGCGTCGCACTTTGCATAGAAGTGCAGAAATCGATGGTCCCAAACTCCATATAGTCCACAAAAACTGCGTGTATACCGTCTACTCTGATAAAGAATAAATTTACTATGGTCAATTTAGTTAGATTTTTAGGGAACGGATATTTCGTCTTCTACACAGTTTATTGTTTACATTTATTGTCCTTGTTTTGTTCAAGTTTAAAGAGCATTATACAGTTTTGTTCCACTCTGTCGTGGAATTCTCCCAAAGCATAAAACAACAGATTAGTACGGAATTAAACCTGATGGTGTATTCATTTTTGCGATGATTTTTTGACTGATTTCAATCCTTCGTGGAAAACAATTTTCAAGTGCAGCTGAACTACTGACTTACTAATATGAGTAGTATGATATCATTCGCAAATAAATGGAAGTGGTCTGAACATCGAACACTCGTTTTGTGCCTTTGGAGCCGAGCCCACCGATGATGGAGGCGGTTTCACTCAAATCACAGGACCGAATCAATTGGAACCAGTCGAATTGTGTATAGCTAGTTACATGAGCGAACCGTTAATACACAGAATCAAGTTTGGAGTCTGCAATTTAATTCACCACTTACAATCTTCACTGTTCGAGGTAAAATTCTGTCACAATTTCTTCTGAAGACCGAAATTAGTAATTCGCATACTGCGAATTTGATGAAAACCAAACCAAACTGGTACTGCAGTATCATATTTTTGTATAGATAAGCTTGAAATGAATTCTTTCAGCTAGGTGCCGAATATTCCAGACAATGAAGTAGTGAACTCGGCCTAAATCAACACGAATGAATGAAGTTTTCATTTGATTGTCACACATTTTCGGACTAAGTGTTCGACCCACTTATTAGTCACTTTTATTATTCTGATTCTTATCATTACTCATACAAAAATTTTACTATCTACCAAATTAGACTGTTAATCAGACTGACAGACAAACACGCGGTTTTGGCTATTTTGAAACGCCAACCACCTTGGTTGAGAATTATTTATCCATTTTATATTGCAGTGATAAGCCTGTCGACCTTCGACTTCAGTCCACAGAGATTTTGTTCATCCATATTTAAAAATGTCTGTGCACATATTTGTTCACCAGGACTCTCTACATCGGCTGTTAGAACCCCACCCCCCCTCCTCGTGCTATGGACCATGTGGAGTCAATAGACGCATGGACAAATTCTTCAGTCACGAAAACTACGTTAGTACTAACCATCTAAAACCGACATACTTAGAGGGCATTCTAAAGAGCTTCAAGAAAACTATTCCACATGACACTTCAAAGCAATAGAATTCACTAACAGGACAGCGAAAAAACACTTTCTGGAGGGACTGTAAGGTTCCCAGAGCACCTTCATTTTTATTTAACGGAGTAAGACGAAAGCGCTTCACTTTTTTTTAAAAGTTAACTGTTATGCATATGACACATTCTTTTATGCATATGGATTGTTTTTCCGTGCACTCCACGTCATAAGAATATTTTGTAGCTCTACATGTATTGCGTCGACTACTTTAAAAATCAATATTTTTTCGGCTCTCCCCTGTTATTTTTTTAGCGTTGCGCATACATATCTCAATTCACCCATTAGTTCTGATAATTTTCGACAACGTTTCCATCGCCCTTGTTTACCCTTCGAGATGTAACAAGCACCGGACAGGCAAACGAAGCAACAAAAAGAAATCAGAGGACGAACATTTAACAAATCCTTATGCATGCATCACATTAGCATGGGTCGGTCGGTCGGTTTTCTACATAGAACTTTGCACCGATGTGCGGCAGCTCAAGTCGCCACACTCCATGTAGCACACAGAGTAAGAGAAGAAAGTAGGAGAAATGAATATTAGAGACAGTAAACAGAGGTGTGAGACAAAGGAATAGTAATAACGAAGAACAAAACAGTTTAATTGGAAATCATAAGTCACAAGGAGTGGATGCATCTGCGCCAGTGAGAAATTAGCATGGGGCAGACAACCAGAGGGACACTCATTGCCATCTCACTCGTCGGCAGAGTTTTACTCGCACTGCCACTGTTACGTGTTGACTATCGCCTGGTATTGTTGTAGGGTCGTCTCTAATCCAATAGAGGAGGGGGGAGAAACAAGTTTTAGTGGTCAGTACTTTCTGGCTATAATAGTCTATGTAATCTTCCTAACCAGTTATCAAAGGAATAAAATTAAAAAGGTTACATTAGGGTAGATAGAAGACAGTAAAGTTACTGTAATTTTTATAATAATGAATAGAAAAATCTAAACCAGAAGGCTTAATTTTATTTGAGCAATGATGGTGATGCACTCAACACAAAGAACAAGATTCAGATTTTCGACAAAAATTTGAAGTCGCTTCTTCTATATGGATTAGAAACATGGCATGTCACGAATAGCATTCCCAGCAGGTTAATGAAGACTTTTATAATCAACTGGTCCGTGGAAAGAATTAGCAACAAGAGACTCCGTCTGGGAACAAAACAACCAAGAAGTGATTGCTCAACAAATACACAGGAGAAAATGGAGATGGATTGGGCAGACGCTGAAGAGACAGTTGGGTGACATCGCGAGCCAGGCCAGACAAGTGGGGCGTCCGACGGTAACATGGAGGAGATCATAAGGGGAGGAGGAGTAGGAGTAAGAGAGAGATTATGCGCAATCCTAGGCCGAGCTAAACAGGACCGCAGCGATTATGAAAAATTGGAGATGTTCTACTGGAACCCAAAGGAACACTCATAGTAATGGCAGTGATAGCGTAACGCATTTATTAGCATACAGAATATCAATTTCGACAGCATCTTCTTCAGATTCGAATGAATTTATATGTTAATAATAATTCAAGAATTATTGTTACTGACTTCAACAACAACAATAACAACAACAATGTTTGCTGAATAACATCGAAACACTGAAATTCAAATTCAGAACGTAAATACGAGAGTAAACAGTCAGTCACCAGATTATAGATCAAACCATGTGTGTATATGATAGTATAGTGTATGCATCAATGACCATCAGATTTCAAAAGTAAAGTGATCATGAATAATGATAATGAATGCATAACTGTGATAGCTCGTGATTACTGTTCAAGTTGAATTTTATTCGGTTTGATTATAAACTTAATATTTGAATAAATGACAACAACAAAAACAGGATGAGAAAATGGTGGTGGTGTGTTAGTGTGTGTGTGTGTGGGGGGGGGGGCGGAAAGTCATGTGTATCTCAGTATGGCTGAATAAAAGTACAATAACAGTTCAGTATTAATTAGAACACCTAGTCCAAACCGGCTATAAAATAAGCATTGAAGAATCTCTTTCTATCATTTATCGTAATACCAAATAAATTGTCAGAGACTACTGAATACTGAATACTCTAGACATCAGGAGAGCATCGCTTAAAACAACGGGAACTTTGGATATAAAAGAAACAAGTCAGGCAACTATTTCAGTCTTAATCTGCTGAGAAATCTACAGCTTCATAAAGACGGTATTACGTTGTGCTTTTGGTCTGTCTGTCTGTTTTCGACATAGAACTTTGCACATATGTGCAGCAGTTCAAGTCACCACACTCCATGTAGCACACAAAGCAAGAGAAGAAAGTAAGAGAAATGCATAATATAGACAGTAAGCAGAGGTGTGAGAAAAAGGTATAGTAATAACGAAGAACAAAACAGTTTCTTTAGAAATCATAAGTCACAAGGAGTGGATGCATCTGCGCTGGCCATTGAGAACGATTTTGAGCCATGTTACCAATTGTTTCCAACCCTTGGTTTTTACCGTCCCGAGGACCCCCACCAGGAAGTCTGCATCTTCCTTCGTGTCTTAAACTGACTGTTGGGGATTTCATTGAGTGATGAAACCACGTTTTGGTTTGACCGCCGCTAGCTCTTTTCCAGCCTGACCCTATATCAGCTAACATTGCTTGTCGAGGAAGGCGATGACTAGGCATACGTAACACATGTTGTGCTTTTGCGGTATAACACATATGAACAAACCTTTTATTTTCAATAGTTGGTTTATAAGGATTAGATTTTTTTACGAGTTGATCACAAATGGATATCAGTTAGAGAACCATTGAAAACCAGCACAGGTGTACTGGACAGCTGTTTCACACTAGTCTGCAAATCCTCGGCAGTACGCAGCCGCCACCGGGGTTCAAACCCAGGACCTGCCGGTCACAAGGCAAGGTCGTAGACTAATAAGCCACTGGGACCCGATCCAATGACCATCCCATGAATTGTAACTTCTACCAATTCGTGATTTAGCCCGGTCACCAATCAATCTAATCCTTACAAACCAACTATTGAAAATTAATCTGATGCTCACTAGTAACTTGCTGCAGGACGGAGTTCCCTGGAGTTCTAGTGAGAAGTCGTGAACAGTGAGGTCCATCCAAATGTCAAGTGTGAGGATGGATGTCCCATAGATGACATTAGTTGGTGGTTGCGCTAAATCCCGAATTGGTAGAAGTTAGAATTCATGGGCTGGCCTTTGAGTCGGGATCCAGTAGCTGAATGGTATACGAGCTTGCCTTGTAACCGGAAGGTCCTGAGTTCGAACCCTGGCAGTGGGTGCATACTACCAATGATTCGCAGACTAGGATGAAACTGCAGCTGTCCAGTACTCCCTGGTTTTCAATGGTTCTCTAACTGATATCAATCCTTGATCAACTCGTAAAAACAAACCTTTAATTATTCTTAATTTAGCCTTGGTTATTCAATTACACACTGACATACACATACATTACCTTCTACTTCATTGTCTCTCTCCGGGGTTTGGGTGTTAATACTCATTTATGTGAAGTTTATAACCAGATAGAGTGAACTTCAATCTGAATATTAATCATGAGCAATTACGACTACATAGTCATTACTTTTGAAATCTGATGTTCAGCTTAGTGTTTTATATTTATATGCATATTATCGCACGGACACATGATTTCAGCTGTATTTGAGTAGCAGTTTACTCTCATATATGCCGCTTGAATTTTATCCACTAGCGATTCGATGTTAATTAAAAGACAACACTAATTCTTTAATTATTATGAATATATATAGCTGCCGTATAACCTGAAGAGAAAGAAGTAATTATCGAAAGGAATATTCTTTTTTCACTAATCAGTGTTATCAAATTTATATTGGGTATCTTTAACCAATTTATTGTTATTTCTGACTTGTAATGCAGCATTTGAGAGTCTTCTGTGAACTTAGTTTATCAGTGATGTTTTTAACGCACTTCTTGTTCTTCAGATTGTGTATTTAACTGAGGAACAATATTAACTTGAATTGATGCGCTATGTCAAAGCAACCGGCTCTGTTTCAGGTCTGATTACGGATTGATAGCAGTTAGAGAACCATTGGAAAACCTGGGAGCACTGGACAGTTGTTTCGTCCTAGTTTGGGCCTCATCGTCAGTACGAAGTACCCACCAGGTTTCGGATCCAGGAATTTCTGGTTACAAGTCAAGCTCGTAGACCAATTAGCCGCTGGGAGCCGACTCATTGACCACGCCAGGAATTCTGACCTCTTACAATTCGTGTTCCCTACAAACACACTCTTGAAAATTACTCTGCTTTGATTGCTTTGTCTGTATCAAAGGTTAGATTCATCATAATACTACTACAACTCTGGTACCATCGTGAATACAGCTATGCTATATCTTTTAAAATGTACTTTCAGGCTAATATGAAGTAATTTGGTGGATGGTGACTAGCAGTGGAATCCAGAAAGCGTATTTCATTCTATTTGGGACTCGTCATTTGAATGTGTCTGCAATCCCTAGTGAGTGGTGGCATTTCCACTGAGTTTCGAGGCCAGTGTGGTAATTGCTACTTATAATCCGATATAAGTAGTATATCAGAAACGAATTCAGAAAAGTAACAATATGTTTTGCACACTGGAAAGAGCGATCAAAGAAGAGAACCATGGGAAGAATGTTGCCATATGATGCAGAATCCAAGAAGCTATCGAATGTGACGACATTCGACCAATTCGTCAAGAATGTGGTAAATGACGTGCAAATGGCAGTTTGAAAATATGGTATTCCAAATTTACCTATGTACAATACGTTTCACTAAATAAACATTCCTTTCAGCCTCCTCGGTCTTTTCTTCTTTACATTTAGTGTCGCTGCCTCTATCGGAGATGAAGGTGCCGTGGCCACAGGTATTCGAGGAGGGAGATGTGCGGACGTTCCTCAGGGATTTCGAAGCTGTCGCGGAGCTGTTTGGAGTGCAGGAGCAGAAGGCGAAGCTGCTTGTCTTGGGAACCCTGCTGAGGGGCCACACGAAGGCTGCGTACGACAACGCTCGGGAGCTGGAAGGTGAGGCGGCGTGGGACAAGGTCGTCAAGAGGCTCATGTGAGAGTTCGACAGCCCTGCGGACAGACAAGAGGCGCTGCAGAAGTTTCGGACGCTGAGACTTGGCCAGGATGGGGATCCGTTGGTTCTCGCAGTAACGCTGACGAATCACCTGCGACGTGCGTTACCCACCCTGGACGAAGATTGACGGGAGCAGTTGCTTGCATCTCAGTTCCTCGAATGCGTCCCGACAAATATCGCTCATCAGTTGCAGCTAGTTAACGCAGCTCAACCAATGGATGTTCATGAAATGGCCAAGGTGACAAGGCAGATAATGACTTCGCATGTCGCTCCAGTACCTCGTTGAACAAAAGGTGGTTCTTGTGGCCTGAGTGGTCTAGTGGATAACGCTTTGGTTTTCGAAACGAATGGTACTGACTTTGAATCTTACTAGGAACTCCATCGCTAACTGGGAGATTGCAGTTCCAAATAGGACGAAGTACTCATCTTGGATCCCACCAACCTAAATACTTCGTGTTAATTCTCAGACATGGATGCAGCTTCCATACCAGCAGCTGACATATCGCCAGAGGCTGGACATTCCAGTCCAATCAATCAACGGGAAAATCAAAATTGACTTAAACAAGTTATATTTTCACTGATTCAGAAATTACTTACATCTCTAGCAGAATTTTTCAGTAATCTGAGCGTCGGTTTCAGTCATTTATTAAGAAGAAGAAGAAAGAATCAACACTTCACTCGGATTGGTTGTTTACTCCGAAGACTCACTCAGTAAGCATGGAATTAAACTAAACACTTTTAAGTACAACTGACAGAGAACCACTGGAAAACCTGGGAGTACTGGACAGCTACTTCGTCCTAGTGCCCAGAACTCTTCAGCAGTACGCACCCATCACAAGGGCTCGAACCCGGGACATTCTGGTTACAAGTCGAGCTCGTAGACCGCTGAGCCACTGGGACCCGATCCAATGGTCCTTGAATTCTAACTTCTGCCAATTCACGACATAGCGCGACCATTTCGCAATGTCTTCTTCGATGACTTACTGCCTCATCTTCACCCTGCTGTACCCTACTGGTCACGGCCTCCCACTAGAACTCCAGGTTAACTGTCTGAATAGGCCAGTTGCTAGTCAGTATCAGATCAATTTTCAAGTATTGGTTTCTGTAGGGATTTCGTTTGATTGGATGGAAGATTTCGTCATGAGCTGACATCAGTTAGAGAACCACTGGAAAACCTGGGAGTACTGGACATCTGTTTCGTCTTAGTTTGGGACTCTTCAGCAGTAAGCAGGTTTTCCAGTGGTTCTCTAACTGATGTCATCTCATGATGAAATCCTCCATGCAATCAAACTAAATGCCTACAAAACCAATACTTGAAAACTGACAGGGAATGTAAGGACGCAATTCAACCGACCCAAACAAAACAGGTGTGTACACAAACTTACCACATGTAAATAAAATCTTGTCACTGGTGCACTGAAAAATTCATAGACTTTTTTACGCCATGATAATTGTAAGCCTTGACTAGCTGTCGGCTGGTAGTCATAACCCAAAGGTAAATCACACGGGATCCATTGTCCATTACGATGATAACTTAATGATGAAAAGGAGTTGTCTTTCATCGATGGATTAAATTTGCTTGGTTTATGGTGGTGTACATTACCTGATGGATTGATTACAGCAGAGGTTGGATCATAGGCATCAAATGGGACAGCATTATTTGATAGTCTTGGTCCACTGCTGATCATTTTTTCTACTAATATATTAGGATCTTGATTTAAACCAGTAGAACCTCTGGTTCTCTTACGTTCATATCTTCTTCTTTGTAAGTCATCAGAAGCTGCCACTGATGCATAATGATTTGATGGGATCAATGAAGCTAGATTCGATCTAATAAATAAATGAATAAATAGGTAAAATAAAAGTATAAACCAAATGTTGAAAAACAGCCTGGACAGTTAATATTAACTGGTTGGAGGCGATCATATGTGGACCAAAGTTTCGTGTTTATTGGTACTTATCAGCAAGGCTAATCTACAATCCCGTCAGGGATTCATATCTGCGTCAGACAGTGCTTTGATTGGACACTAACTAGTATCATATGAATGTACGCTCCACATTCAACAACCTTTATTACAGACAAATCGACGGTATTGCCATAGGTTCCTCATTGAGTCTAGCTTTTTTAAGCTTGAAAATGGTCCATTGAAATAAGTAATAGATAAAACGGATTCTTATTTTCGTTATGTTGATGATACGTTTATTATTCTTGATGAGAAAGCTGACAAGAATGAAACGTTAATAAAATTTAGTGATGCACATCCATCGCTCAACTTCACTTGTGAAAAAGAACATGGTGGTTGACTACACTTCCTTGGTGTTTAGTTGAGCGGAAGAGAAGATGGTTCATTCAAGAGAGATGCCTATAGAAAACCTACATCTGTTGGACAATAATACACTCTGTTCAGATGCCTCACGAATATAGCAAGACGGATCTGTACAGATGAGTCCTTAGAAAATGAATTAGGATACATCCAAAATACGCTGGTCCAAATGGGTTATCCTAGTAGATTTGTAAGGAGACACATGAACACCAGGTATAGTAAAGAGGAACTGGCAACAGTTGCAAAGAAACAACTGTTCCTAAAATCACAATTTAATGGGGACGTAGCCAGTGAAGTCTTACATCTAAGATTATCGAGGGCAATAACACGGACTTATACTGCCACCACCACCCTTTGTTTGTCATTTTCCACCCGACCAATTATGACTGCTCAAGAGAAAGACAAGTTACCCAGCTGTACCAGTTCTGTGTGCATCTACAAAGTTTGTTGCTCCTGTGGAGAGATCTATACAGCGCGAACAACTAGACAGCTCAACAATAGTATTAATGGGCATCCTCCTTCATTGTTGGGAAAAGGTCAGTAAAATCTATAAGAAGTTCTATTTGGACTCATTTGATTGAAAGCGGTCACCAAGTGGACAGAAGTAGTGTCGGTGGCACAGTGGTTAGGACTCTCGCCGACCATGCACATGGTCCGGGGTTCGATCCCCTGCCGGCGCACACCCGATATCTATGGTCGGCCTGAATTTGGGCTACCGATATCCATGCTGAAAATTCCACACTTGTACTGAAAATACGGTGTGGAATCAAGCTGTAAATCAAAAATCAAAAATCAAATCAAATTCAAAGTTATCTATCGCATTCCATCGAGCCTTTCGAACGGGATTCGAACTTGTCTTTTACACATAGCCGAAGCTATGGGAATTAATTGGAGAGAACAATCCTAGTCTTTGCATACAACAAAAGAAGTTTGTTCTAACTTTGTCTCTCTCTTGGCTCAGGTGAAGTCTAATCATTTGTTATTCTTATCGCTACCTGCATGAACCTTATTGTCATTATTTTGTTAGCATTATAATCATCGTTATTACTGACGTTGAAAACATTTACCACATTATTATTATCACTATTATTTGATCCACCAAATCCCCGTCATTGGTTAAAATTTTTATTTATAAATCTATGTAAATTAGAGTAAAGCCTGAAGAAGATCTAATTGAAAACAGAATCGTTCGCCAATATGTCTTGTTCTAATTATTAAGAACGGGGATATTATATACGTCCAAACCAAGTTCGCTTTTAACAGTTTGAAAAAAATTTGGGCATTGAGTATATGATGTTCATTATAATAAAGGTTTTTGTATTTCCCGATGAATGAAAAACAAAACGATATTGTTTTTACTGACGTTTCGCTACTTAATGCTAATGGCATTCTCAGAGTATTATTAAACCAGAATTTACTAAATCTCAGCTTATATATAACATCATCGTTCCTCAGCATGGGGTCATTTTTCGTTGTCAAATTGGCCAATTGGTAAAGATAACAAAACCAGATCTAGATTGTTGGATTTGAACAGTGTGTAGAATTATGAAAGCAGTGTGTGTTTATATAATGAAATTGCTTATCACGTTCGTGTTGATTTCATCATTTCATGGAGGAGGGGGCGGTGTTGTCACCAGGTCAAATTCTGTTTTGGTCCATCATTCCTATTCAGATAATCTGGATTCCACTTGATATGAAGTGCTTCTGATATTAGACGTTCTTTGTGATTTCTGAAATGCTTTTTCTGGATTATTTCAATATTTTCGAAATCAATTTTGTGTCCCAATTCTATAGCGTATAGACCTATGGCTGATGATTTTTCAAGCTTTTCTAGTTCAACTGGATTTCTCAGTGTTCGAACAGATGCTCTACGGTGTTCATTTCTTCTGATTTTTATTTCTCCCTGGAGATATTTGTCCGATGTATATCGCATCACCTTCCAAGCATTTTATTTTAAAGACACAATTAGATAGAGAATCTTTAGGGATTTGGTCTTTTATATGGAAAACTTTGCTTTGTAGTGTGTCTGATGTTTTGAAGAACACTCTGATGTCGAGCTTATTAAGTATTCTTCTGATGATATCGTCTGACGTCTCTGCTCTATATGGAATGACAACTGAAGCAAAACGTCAGTAATAACAGCATTGTTTTAGATGAATTCCTAATTAAATGATCATGAGAAGATTACTTTTTAACAAACTCTTAAATGATACTGAAATCTTTGTCTGAAAGAACGTCAACATGTAGGATGATTCTGTTGAGAGAAAAAAAAGTATCGAATAAAGTCAATTGTGACATCTGAAAACACCAAGTTCACCTGAGAGTATCGTCAAAGTGTCTCACACTAATAATCTATACTTCAACAGAGACTGAGGATTTCTGCCTAGTGAAATAAAATCAGCGGAAAATCCAAAATAATTTCAGTAGATTAGGGCTGATATTCATTTACACGCAGAGGAGGTAACTCTTTCATCCTCAGAGGATTAGTAGATTGGGTTTTGACGTGTGAAACAACGGGTACCGAGTTTCAAAATGAAAGGGAATACCTCAACTTCTTTGAATCCGGGTAGGCTCACCCAGTAACTTCCTAATAGGATGAAGCTGGCGTCCTTGTTACAACTACTACACAAATAATGGCGAATAATGAATTTTTTAAAGAAAAATTGGAAATGCATTAGAAAGGGTTAAGCTAGCCAACATTATACTTTACGTAACTTCATTTCAAAGCTGTACAGGTGCATAGTGTACTAAATGGTCGTGGAAATGCATATTGAAGGTAAAATATATGAAACTACACATCACGAAACTGAAGCCGGATAAATCGCGAAACATAGTTAAGTAGTTTTATGTAATATAAGGGCATTAATTGGTGAATATCGCTCACAAGTGACTGTCACTAAGACTATGAACACTGTGAAGCGAGAATACTGTTCATAAGAGTAGGATAATTCAGAATGTGTATACGCTCTATTTTAAAGTGAGGCGTTTGAAAAGAAAGCAGAAGAATAAGAACAAAGGAATGAAGATGAATTACAAACTAAATCACCGTACAAGTTGAAAAAAGAAGCTCTAAGACCATGCTGGTAAAAGAGATTGAGCAAACCGCCTCTGAGTTTTACAGTTCAGAGTTATCCTTGTGTGTAGCAAGAACTTCTGCTGTGGAAGAAACCGGTGCAAACGTATAACTCACAGGTGACACAACAGTTGAAATTCTTTGAAGCGGGTTATTGAGAGCACTTCAAAAAGAATTCTTCGCTACATCTCTGCGGATCACCTTCTTCACGCAGCCTTTTACTCATCAAAATGTCAAAGACGGTATCTCACATTTAGTGACATCCATGTGCATATATCAGTTCACTTGATCGGGTGGAGTTAAGCGCACAGGCAGTACCAGTATAAAATTATTTAGACGTACACAAAAACATCTACTAATATGGCTGCCGAAAGCAGGCATAAGATGGACTGATAGCTCAATTCTTAAGCGACTTTTTCGTGCAAATCGTTCAGCGTCCACAGAAAAATCTTTCAAATTGATAATATAAGATTAGGCTAAGACATTTCTAGGGTTTCCAGTCAGATCCCTCCACAGCAGAAATTCTTGCCATACACAAAGAAAACCCTGGACTGTGTAAAAAGAAGCGGTTTTTTCAATCCCTTTAACCATCGTGGCCTAAAATCTTGTTGTTTTAAACTTGTATAATGATTCTTCTTTCTCTTCAAAATCTTTAATTGGAAATATTATTACTATATCTTTGGGTTCCGAGTGAAACATAGGGCTTCAGCAACACATATCCACTTTTTTCTATTCTCCAACATCCTCTTCAGCCAAGTCCAGGATTGCTGATTGTCTCTCATCTCCTCCTCGCCATAAGATTTCCTCCGTGTCACCCTCGAACCAAAGCCCAACTTGTCGTTTCCCATTCAGGTTCCACTGGATCGCTGGCCTGGTGCGCGATGTCATTCGATGGCTTTCTCAATGTATGCCCGATCCGTCTCCATTTTCTCCTATATATTTGTTTAGCAATCGCTTCTTGGTTGGTTTGTAGCCAGAGTTTCTTCCTGATAATTCTTTCTGGTCATTTAATATTCAGTAGGGAGCCGGAGGAGACAGCTGTTGATAAAAAGCCTGCATTAACCTGTTGGAAATGCCGTGTTTCTGACCCATATAGAAAAACTGATTGATTTCACATTTGTATTGAAAATCGGAATCTTGTTGTTTTTGCTGCGGAGTGCAGAAGATTTCCAAACTGGTTTCAGGTTGATGAAGGCGTATCTTGCCTTTCCGATTCTGAGTAGCTTTGCCATTTTCACCCACGCTATCCGCCTGTGGTTGAAACGGTGCTTCCTAGATAAGTGAAGGAGGTAACCTATCTTAAATCTTTCCCGTTAATGGTGATTGGTGCTGGTTGTTGTTGTTGTTCCTGTTCGTTGGTCATTCTTATCACCACTGTCTTCTCTCTTTTTTCACCTGGAGTCCTGTCTTCGCCACCTGCCTCTTCAACCAGTTTGTTGGTTTTCGCCTGTGAGTTTTCGAGTCTGTGTGACACTAGACATGCACCATCCACATGCGAAATCCAGATCTTCTAGAGTCTTCTTATCGGTATTCCAGCGTATTCCTGTTTCCTCTCTCCCTACAGTCTCACGCATAATCCAGTCCACCAAAATTAGGCATATCATCAGTGATAGTAGGCATCCATATCTTACTCCTGTATTTACTTCGAACACCTCACTGAGTTTTCTGTTTTGGATCACCTGACATGTACCATTGTCATTTGGCGAACTGTTGAATAAGGTTGATAAAGACTTGGAGCACTTCACTTCATAGTGTTGAAGCAGTTTCCAAATTATTTCACAGTCAACGCTGTCAGAAGCCTTTTGCAAGTCAACGGATCTGAGACAGAGATTTGACCGCCATTCTATGCTTTGTTCTGTGATGACAATGCGTAGAGTTGCAATTTGATAAGCATTTGATTTGCCGTTCCTTATTCTAGCTTGTTCTGAATCTCTTACTCTTATGAACAGTATTCGTGTTTCTAGGTGTTCATAACCCCAAATATTCATCAACCTTATTCAACAGCTGTACGACAACGGCACATGTCAAGTGATCCACAACGGAAAACTCAGCGAGGCTTTCGGAGTAAACACAGGAGTCAGACAAGGGTGCTTACTATCACCAATGATATTCCTCATTGTGGTGGACTGGATTATGCTGCAGACAGTGGGAAACGAGAAGACAGGGATATCCTGGACCGACATGAAGAACCTAGAAGACCTGGATTCCACGCGTGGATGATTTATGTTTGATGTCACACAAAATCGAAGACTTACAAGCGAAAACCGACAAACTGGTCGAAGAAGCAGCCAGAGAAGACAGGACTCCAGGTGAACATAGACAAGACGGAGGTTATGAAAATAACCAACCAACCAACAACAACATCAGCAGCAACATCCAGCGCCAATCACCATCAACGGGAGGGATTTGAAAGAAGTTTCTTCATTCACTTATCTAGGAAGCATTGTCTCAACTACAGGAGGAACACACGAGGATGTCAAATCGAGAATCGGGAAGGCGAGAAACACATTCATCAACCTAAAACCAATCTAGAAATCTTCGTCACTCAGCCCGCATCAACAACAAAATTCGGATTTTCAATACAAACGTCAAGTCAGTCAGTTCTTCTATACGGATCAGAAACTTGGCGGGTCACAAAGAATATTTCCAACAGCCTGTTGCAGACCTTTATCAACAACTGTCTTCGCTGGATCTATACTGAAGATCAGATGGCCGGAAAGAACAAGAACCAACAAGAAACTATGGGAACAAACAAAACAAGAACCAATCGCTACAACAAATATGCAGGAGAAAGTGGAGATGGATTGGACACTCGCTGAGGAGGCCGCTGGGTGACATCGCGCGTCAGGGCGTAGCTCGAGTGGAACCCGAAATGGAAGCGGCGAGTGGGACGTCCAAGTGTGACATGGAGGAGATCGTGTGAAGAGGAGCTGAAACAGTATGGACTAACATGGATGCAGGTGAAAAGTACAGCAGAAGACAGAAGCAAGTGGAGACGTGTAGTTGAAGCCCTATGTTGCACTAGGAACCCAAGGGAACAATAATACAATAATAATGCCTTTATATTACATCAGACTACTTAATTATGTTTAGCAGTTTATCCAGCTTGTTCTTGTGATATGTAGTTTCATGCATTTTACCTTCACTATGCATTTCCACGAACATTTAGAACACAATATAACTGTACAGCTTTGAAGTGAAATTACTTGAAGTATGTTGTTATCTGATCAATGCCTTTTTGATTGAAACAAAAACGGATAATGCGGAAACATGCCAGGAGATTCTGTGATTCACCACTGCATAATACAAGTAACAAGCAGCAGAAAGTGCTGACATAACACTCACCTTAACAAAAAAGCATGCTTAGCTAATGCTGCATTCTGTGAAGTATTCAGTGCAGTTGAATATGGATGAATAGTGAAACGTTGTTTACGCATATGATTTCTAGGCTCACGGTGTAAATTATGAAAATGTTGAGTTTGAAAACTATCTTTAGGCAATGCAGCGGCGGCGGCTGCCGTTGATGCAGTTCCTGATGATAATGATTGTATTGGTTGTTGTGATTCGGATGTACATGATAAATCAATTGTTTCATCTGATAATTTCGGTTGGTCAACAGCTGTTGGATGCAATTCTTCGAAGTCTACAGATTCTACCAAAGAAATACAAGAAGAAAGAAAACGAATGTAACTTTCTTAAGTTTTGATTGCAAAACACAACATCTTCGAAACAGTGGAAAACATTGATGGTTGAGATGGATGTTTCGGTTGAACAACAATCAGTAACTACTGCAATGTGTCTGGTTCTTTGTTTACTGCGAACTGAATTCTATCACTCTAGGTTGCAGTGTGACCATCATGACACTAGGTGGCTCGCCATCACGGTGCACTGTAACCTTGGAGGAACTCATGTCCCTTCTGAGATTCGAACCCGTGTCACCCAGCGGTGCAGTCAGAGACTTTACCACTGAGCTATACGAGTTGGCGATGGACCTCCTATAGGATACGCTGATTGGACACTAGTTAGCAACCGATGTTATTGTGCTTTTTAAGCTGGAGGGGGGAATGATCTAATTGAGAAGCTTTCATTGCCTTTCTAGATGACGTCTTTAACGCCAACTTCAAAAGACTTCCTTTTTGGGGTTAGCGCGAAAGATGTAGACTAGTAGCACAATAAAAGCATTGTAATCAAACCACATATTCATCTAACAGAATAGCATTAGAAACAATATCTTTATCTTAGACTGAATTCGCATTTTACACAATTCGTGGAGGTGAAATTTCACTACAGTTATATTCGGAAACCCGAATTATCCAGACCACAATATGTAATCTCACTGATGCTATAAGTAGGAATCAAAAAGAGCAGATTTAGATGTACGAGTCTATATACTACTTACTAATTGATATAAGTAGTTGTATATAACTGACATCAGGCAGCCGTAGTACTTGCTAGGCAGGTCGGAGTGATCTAAACACCCAACTGTCGTTTCGCTCATACATACGGTATTCATGGTATGAAACAGATTACATATTGTGATTTAAGTAATTTTGGTTACCTAAGGCAATTGTGGTGAGATTTCAAAACGAACTGTGGAGATTTCAAATATAGAATTAACTGTGAATTTGATTCAATGTATTAACCGTCCGCCCAAGTAGCTAATTCGGCTTTCTGAGCTAAGTAAGAGTGGGTTCATCGATAATGAGCTCTGCACGGATGGAGCGAAACGTCCATTCAGTGATTAGATCACTTCAACCCACCTTGTAAGTATTACTGCTGCTTGATGTCAGCGGTATCCAACTACTCATATCAATCATTAAGTAGTATATGGTATTAATATTATGATTAATGAACAAATGAAAGGCTAACAAAATTACTAACAAAAACCTAGAGACTATGAAATATTCTTCTATACTATTTGAAAAGAAATTATCCAAGTTGGTTTGTGCATTCAATAATTTATTTATAGAAAGAATTGAAAAATCCAATTAAAGAATTTTAGAACTGATGGCAAGACTATGTTGGAAAGTAGTTCAGGTGCCTGCTGGTTAGTGTCTTGTGGATAACATTAACTTCGTTTTACCTTTATTCATTATATATTACATAGATTACTCAAAATACTACTGTTATGATTCATTCCTTGCGTTCAGAGTGAGATGTACAGCCGCACATCTCCATTCCAATCGGTTCTCTACCATCGTAATCAACCGCCTCCATGGTCACTTACAAGCTTTTGTTTCCCCCCTACATGATCTTCAGCACCGAATGGTAGTCAATTAAGTTATTTAGCCCAAAGTATGTCGTTCAAAATCTACCCCTTAGGTGTATGATGTGATTTCTAGGCTGAGTGATACAACAAGGTTGTCCACTGTGGGGAATATTTAGAGGAGTTTATCGATATATTTCGTTTGCTGACAGTCCGATACATCAGTATCGCACATTGGAAACCTGATTGGTAGATTTAATGTAATCGGGAGTCCAAATGTATTCCACTAGTAACGTCTCTGAGACATGTTTTTATCTCTGAAAAGAAGTTAGTCCCTTTGACCTTGATGACAGGTGTCAATAAACACAAAACCTAGGTCAAGACTTTCTTGACAATTACCTCCAACCACCTAACATTAATTCATATTTGAAGTTACACAATCCTTCTAGTTATCACCTGACTCTCAAAAAATGCTGCCACTTAATCTCGAATTTAAAAGTGATTCTGAAGCCGGAATTCTCCGTAAATTGCTTTCAAAATCGCTCAGTAAAACATACTTCGCTGCCAGCCTGGGAGTGATATTTTATTGCAAGAAACTATTCAACCAGCATGTGAAAGACAAGCTGTCGCATTGGGCCACTTCAACATGCATATACGAATCCAATTGATCTTGTGGAGCCAAGTACATTTGCCGTACCATGCGACCACTTGTAAAACGTGCTCGGGAACACTATCCAGCCTAGCTAGCAAAAGGTCATATACAAGATCCGATCAGACCTCTAAAAGGCAGTCAGAGTAAGGGGTCTGGGAATAGCAGAGGCAATAGTAATCCAAAAATTCAAGCTCATGTCATGCATCCCAAAGAAATACGTCCAACCGTTGTCTTTAACATGGTCATCATGAAAAGTTAGTTCTATCAATAAGGATTATCCTATTACCTTTCTTATCCTAACTTTCTGTTTATTTTTGTTATTTTTTGGTTTTTTGATCCCTATTTGCAGAGTTACGTTCTTTGCACAAAAGTAATTTCTCAGTAATTATGACCCACCATGTTTTTATCTGATCTTCTTGTTCATTGTTACATTTTAATCCATAACTGCAATTTCATTAAGTTGACTCTTGAGCGGAAATAGTTGTGGGACTTTCTCACCTATTTATTATAAATACACGAATGTGCAGTCTGGTCGGTAACTTCGTTGAAAAGAAAATCTTCTTCGCTGAAACCATCTTTTTAATATTTCCCAAGATCTAATGTGTATATTCCATGAAATATGCTGAAAGAAATGCAGATGGATGGGACACACTAAGGAGACCGCTGAGAGACGATAAAAACCAGGCATAACTTTGAGTGGAACCCTAATGGGAAATGACGATTTAGGCATGGGTCAGAAGGAGATATCAAGGTGATCGTGTGAAGTGGAGATGAGATCCTGTAGGAGTCAACTAAAGAGGATTGCAGAAAGCAGGATGAAGTCAAGATGTGCTGTCGTAGCCTTATGTTCCACTCGGAACCTAAGGGAATAATAATAATAACGATATTGACAAAATAGGAAAACAATTACACAGCACGTTGAATTATTTGACATACTTCTTTCACGATGACATCTGTTGGTTAAATTCTCTTCGGATGGGAGAATATTTACTTCAGGTACATCCTGTAAACTAGAATCTGCATCAATCAACATCTATAATAAAATAAAATTTAATACAAAAAAGAAGAGTAACAAAGGGTTAGCTCAACTGATCATGAAAAATATTTAAGTAGTATAAGCATCACTAAACAGAAACTCAAACTGAAGTTAGCTTTTTCTAAGTAGGTTCAAAGTAAGATAAGTACTACAAAAAAAGGGAATGTTAATAGGGGATATCGTCATTCCTAGTTTGTTTGTTTTTTTACTGTGGTTGGCAATAAGTAACTTACACACTGATAGCAATCAGCTTAAAATAGTAATCATTTTATGACTCATTGTGTGACTATGAAATTTCATCATTCTTTTTGCCGCCTTGTTCTTTGTCAAATCGCCAACCAATCAGAATATTTATTTTTCACAGAGCTAGCCGAATTGCCAGCCAATCAGAACAATCTATTTTCACTGTCCTGGGCCGATTTTAATGAGGTAAAACAATATATAAGTATGAGGTTGTTTTTCTAATAAAATAGAATCCCAGCAGTCACAGGGAAGTTTTTGTCTTTTGATACTGTTGTGGCTCAGTGGAGAGGAAGGTACCTCGGACGAATAGGCGTATTCAGGAAATCAGTTGAGGTGTCCATTACGACGCGATAATGTCGACTGACGAGAGATTTATAACACACTCCTGCGTGTGTTTGAGAGTTGATGATATCACCCAGTTGTTGAAGGAAACACTTACTTTAAATACTCTCAACATTATAAGGATGGGTGAAGTGAATCATATGAAATTCTTAGTTTTTTGTTTGACGAGCTGACATCAGTTAAAGAAGCATAAAAAGACAGGAAGTACTGGTTTGGTGAGAGCTGTCCGCAAGCCAAAATTGTAGACAGTAATTTACGTCAATGTTTACGTCCCAAATCTTGCTCATGAGAAAAAACAATAACCAAGCTTAGTCTTGAGGAACTCACCAACCAATCACAGAAGACTTAACTTGTGCAGATACGATTCGCAGATATATGGCTTAACTTTCTAAGGAGCGGTCACAAGCAGTACAGAAAAACCATCAGCAAGAGAACAAACAATCAGAAGACGTTGCTTCTCTGCTAACAATAATGAATAATAATGTACATAAAAATCTATAAATATCTGTTGATTTTCTCAATAAACGATCTGTTGCCTGGCTCTTGTCTTCTGTCGTTACACTGGGACCCCATTTTGATATAGACGTACTTTATTTTACAACTCATCTGCCAGAATTTGTGACTTTTCGCATGCATTATTACATTCCAGAATAGATGATATTATTGTCAAGTTACACAGGTAAAATCAAATGACCTTGAAACTTGGAAAATCATCAGCCATAGGTCTACATGCTATAGAATCAGGCCACAAAATTGATTTTGACAATATTGAAATAATCCAGAAAAACTTCAGAAATCACAAAGAACTTCTAATATCAGAAGCACTTCATATCAAGTGGAATCCAAATTGCCTGAATAGAAATGATAGACTAAAACAGAATCTGACCTGGTTATAATACCTCCCTCCCCCATGAAATTACAAAATCAACACGAATGTGATAAGCAATTTCATTATATAAACACACGCTGCTTTTATAATTTTACACACTGATCAATTCCAACAATCTACACTTGATTTTGTTATCTTTACCATTTGGCCAATTTGACAACGAAAAATGACCCCAGACTGAAGAACGATGATCAAGTTAGTAAACTTTATTTTGATAACATAACAGATGTACTACTACCTTTCCTATTTGGTTTAGTGATCTTCATTGTTATTTTGACTTTCAATATGTCCCTTTAACTTGACCTAAGTCTATTTTCTCACCCCCTAACTGTTTGTTATATATATGCTGAGATTTTGTAAATTCCGGTTTAATAGTACTTTGATAAAGCTATGAGCAACATTAAATGGCGAAACGTCAGTAAAAACAATATCGTTTAGTTTTTCATTCATTGGGAAATAGAAAAACCTTGATTATAATCAAATGACCTTAAATCTGTAATAAGTTACTCAGGTTCAGTTTTAAGAAGCAGCATGAATTCCCTGAGTAGACTTGTTTATGATTTTTTTTTCCTTAACGTTCCCCAGTGGAACATAGAGCTTCAAGCAAGTGGCTTGAAGTTTCTGTAGCAGTGTTTATTTTACAGGATTAGGTTGCTAGCCTCATGCCGAACCTTTCCTGTTTACCAGCATTATTTCTGGCTCAGCAAGGTAAAGGAGTGCGTCGACCGGGTATCGAACCCTGGGCCATGTGCATGGTCGGCGAGCGTCCTAACCGCTATACCACCGACGCTGTTTATGATTAGTAATAACATAAACAAAATCTTCAGTGTGACAGTGGTTTTTATGCATGCGACCGGGCTTCGATTCTCGGCTGGCGCAGTCAAAGACTTCGACTAGCTCACCAGCTGGTAGAAAGCCTCAAAATGAATGAAGGTTAGACATCAGACTGAAACTTCAAAAAACGCTTGAAGCCCTAAGTATCAATTAGAACGTAAATAAAACATAAGAATCCATGAAATCGGCATAGAATGCCGACCTACTGTAAGCATTTCATGAAAACTCAACAAAAAACAACAGGAAATGACGGAAACAAAATAAAGATTTAAGCGCTTACAGGATTTTTCTTCGGTTTCGAAATCATGTCAACTGAATGATTTTGATCAGTAGCTGAAATCGGGACTGACTCTTTTGTATGCATATTTGCAACTAGCGCATAATCTGGTAGGCTTGTTTTGCACAAATTAGCAGATTGATGACGCACAGCTTTATGATCAGCAGGTATAGTTGATTTATTGTATTGTACTGTATTATATACTGATGCATAGTTTGTTAACGGTCCTGAAGTTTTTCGGTGTTTACTATGATTATGTGAACGATATTTATGCGAAGAAGAAGCCGGAGGAGCAGAGGTCGGTGGCCATAGATTATTTACTATCTCAGGACTGGTATTGATTTCGTTATTTATGATTACTGCTGACAAGTCAACCTTTTCTTTATCAGATGATAGTTCCATACTGTTTCCTTCCTAAACAAGGTGAGACAGAGGAGAGGGGGAAGAGAGACAGAAAGGTAAAACGATTATAATAAATTACTAATTGGTGAATATATTTTATTTTTTAAATTTTTATTATAGCTTGATTCCACACAGTATTTTGGTACAAGTATGAAATTTTCAGCGTGTGATATCGGTAGCCCAAATTTAGCAGGCCGACCATAGATGTCAGGTGTGCGTCGGCGGGGGATCGAACTTCGGACCATGTGCTTGGTCGCCGAGTGTCCTAACCGCTGTGCCAATGACGCACGTATATATATATGTCGGGTGCTGTGTGGTCAGCATCTCCAATATGTTGCAATATTGATGAATTTAATTCCTCTACGTTTTCCTTTGCTCAGCCAAACTGGGAGGTGCTCTCGAACGCAGCGGGATATGTTTACTGACGAACGTTCTGTGTACCTAGCTCTGCAAGAGCAGGTGAACATATAAATGCAAATGAAATTAGACAATCGAGGTAAAATTTCCTTGACATTAAGGTGCACTAGTGGAAGGCTAGAGTAAGTTATTCGTAAAGTAGCAGCAAAGAACGTTTTTGGTTACAGGATTTCACCATGAGCTGATATCGGTTAGAGAAGCACGGGAAAACCTAGGAGTACTGGACACCTGTTTCGTCAGCTTAGCTTGGAACTTTTCAGCAGTACGCACCCCCTGGGGTTCGTTTTCTCCGTGATCTCATCAGACGATTTATAAGCACTTCACTTGCAGTGTCACCCCTAAATTCTAAGTTTAGGTGCAACACATTTTAGCTAACTTATCAATCCTGCCGCGTTCGAGAGCACCTCCGATTTCGGCTGAGCGAAGGAGAAAGGGGATGATTGATCTACTTACAATTTTGTTGCTTATTTCAATATTTTACCTAATTCTGTAATTATTACCTCTTTTCCATTGACCTGTACATTCTCATTCTAACGCGTACATATCCTTTCTTGGTTAAATCATTATTGTCGGTGTTTGTTTGTTATTGATTCTCTTATTCTTAATGTTCCACTTTACTATCATTTGACGTTGAATTGTTGAGGATAACTTGTTGTTTTACGATTGCAATTTTGTTTGAATAAATTCAAAGTTATGCCATGTGGAATATTTCAACTTGGACTGTCAGCGACAAATGTGTTTGATTCTTACTGACAAAGTTTTGATCCCACCTTGTTGGAAATATTCCGCTTGATTCTCAGGTTAACTATTTTTGTACATAAAGAATTCTTGAACTATATAGCTGCTTAATGGAAATGTTGAGGTTATTTTACGTTTCCAGTATGTTATTTTTGTTTAATAGTAGATTAAGGGACATTGTGGGATTGTTGATCCCTTTCAGAAGTTTGATCAGTTAGATAGAAAGAAGAACGCATAGGTTGATTCCTTGTCTTCAAATAAAAATACTTGTGTTATGGTCGTTACAAAAAAAAGAATTACTGCATGAACTGAAACAAGTAGTAAGGTATGATAGGCTCTTGGAAAGAACAGAGGTCCACTGTCTGAAGATTACAGTCCATCAAATATATATATATATATACGCAAGATTACTTGTTTTGTAGTAGCTGACAGTGGAATCGTCCTATTTCGTGCTCGTCAGCTGGGTGTTGATGCTCCCAGCTAGTGAGTTAAAGTGTTGTATGAATTGAGTTTTATTTTCATATGGATTTCTGCTTTGATATTAGAGGATTATTTTTATGACGAATTACGAGGCAAGCTCGTATACCATTGCCTTGTAACCGGAAGGCCCTGGATTCGAACCCTAGTGGGGGCCTACTGCCGATGGTTCCCAAACTAGGCTGATGAAACATCTGGCTGTTCAGTACTCCCTGTCAGTGGTTTTCAATGGTTCTCTAACTGATATCAATGCGTGATCAACACTCGTAAAAACAAATCTAATCCTTACAAACCAACTAATGAGAATTATATGTAACAACAAATTAAAATTCTAATGAGCAAGTTGTGAATTACTGTGTGTGTGTGTGAAGCAATCAAAAATAAATATAAATTGTTTTGATTTTCTAAACTCTATGAGATTAATTTTTCGCATAGTTGTATAAGCGAATATTTAGAAAAAAATTGCATTTAAATCTTCCGCTTGAAGAATTTTTTTGTTATTAAGAGGAGTGTGCAAACACTGTCTATATCAGAAAAACAGTTTACTAATTATGAAAAAGAAAGAAATAATGATGCTCAAGGGAAAGAAAAACAAATTCTCTTCTTCTTGTTGCTGTTGTTTTTATTATTATAATCTTTTCAAGAGTTAGTCTGACAGAATTTTTATTTGTTTTTCAAGTTTGCTAACGGATTGATGTCAGTCAGTCAGAGGACCAATGAAAATCAGAGACTAGTAGGCAGTTGTTTCGTCCTGGTTTAAGACACGAATGCAGCGGGGATCGAACTCACTACCTTCAGGTTGTGACGTCAAGCTCATTGACTACTTAGCCATTTGGGGCGGAATCCGGGGCAGTCCATGAGTTCTAACTGCTGTCAATTTGTGATTTTAGCACGCAAATACCAGCCAGTATCATAGACAAGTATTTGTTCTCATATCCTGACTGGTTGACCCTAACCCGTCACGGCTTCTCACTAGAACCCTAGGCAACTTTGTCAAGTAGTTAGTCACTAATGGGCTTAAATTCATTTTCAACAGTTCATTGTTAGTGACTTTGTATATATCTACATCCACAATTAGGATACTTAGAAAACACACTATATCCAATGTTTACTGGATAAAAATATGCCTAAGGGTGATGAAATTTATGAATAATGTAATGAGAAATTGTAAAGGGAGATCTAGATTAGATTAGCAGTAGAAGTAGCCGAAACTACAGCCTGTAGTCTTTACATTACCGGGTTCTAGTCAGGAGTTTATCTACCGTCATAGGTGGTACAACATGTTGAGTAGAGTGTTGGATAAGAAGGCGAAGTCATTCCATAAGGTTGTTTTTTGATGCTTCAGATGAGATGCCCAGGATGTGTGTTATCCATGCCAAGTCACTGTCTTTGTCAACAAGGCAGTGTTAGCTGATATGCAGTTGATGGTCAAACGGAAAGATGTCATCAATCCATGAAGTTTCTCATTGTTGATCCCCATAAAAAGGTTTGGGCAGTCTAACTGTGAGGTCCTTAGGATGCTTAGAATCAATGACGGAAGACTGTTGACGCAGATACATTCACTGTCTGTGAACTCCTAGATCCCCTTAATTTTCATGTTAATATTCTTTCTCCAGCACATTTCTACCTGTTACTATAGCGTCTTTACAGATGTTTATTCTCTCTGCCTTTTATGAAGTGTCGTACCATGAAGTGTTACAATTTCAGTTTCATGGGTGTCACCAGATGGGTGAACCAAAAAACAAATTAACTTCATCTCAATCTCAAGGAAGTGGAGGCTTAACCTGCTGGACACAAAAGTAAGAAGAGGAGCGGACTTTGGCTCAGACCACTACCTCGTGCAAGAGACAATCCAAATCAAATTAAAGGCTTTCAGGGAAACAGGAGCTGCAGATAGACCACAAGCCAAGTTCAACACTCAAAAACTGAAAGATCAGGACACAAAGGACATCTTCACTGGAAGCCGAGACACAAATCAAGACTGGCGAAGAGCTTAGCGTCGAAAAGCACTGGAACAACTTGAAAACAGTGTGGAGTCAAACCTGGATGGAAGTTCTAGGCAGAAAGAAGAGACAGGACAAACACTGGCTCACTACGGACACTTGGAGACTCATAGAAGAGAGAAGGATGGTGAAACAAAAGATTATCCAATGCACCGACTTGGAGGAGGTCATGTGAAGAGGAGATGAAAACATGTGGGCAGACTTGGACCCAGGTGAAGACTCTAGCAGAGAACCGAACGCACGGCTGAAGCCCTATGTTGCACTAGGAACCCAAGGGAACAATAAATAATAATAATAAACAAATATGAGACTGAATCACTATAACATCAATGAACGTAGAAAATAACCAAGGCAGGCATTTAAAGCTTACTTCTAATATCCTTGATGGTTCTGGTGGAGTTATTTCAACTGTTGGAATCTTCTTTTCTGTATTTGGATTATTCGACTGATTTTTTTCCGTAGTTGCATTTTCAGTATTTGTTGGCTTTTGGTCATGTTGTTTAGTGTCACATCTGTAAAAGAAAGGTAAAACAAAGATATACTTTGGGGAGAAAAATAAATGTGTAGTTCAGCGAAGAGTCTCTTACCAGTGGCGAATTCATTCACTTAGCTGTACAGTCGCAATTATATATACATATATATATGGTTAGCGAAGTCTTACATCTGAGATTGTCGAGAGCGATAAAACGGACTTATACTGCCGCCACCGCCCTCTGTTTGTCATTTTCTAGCCGACCAATTATGATTGCTCCAGTGAAAGACAAGATACTTAGCTGTGCCACTTCTATGTGTGCCTGTAAATTTAGTTGCTCCTGTGGAGAGAGTTATATAGGGCAAACAACTATACAGCTTAACAAATGCATTAATGAGCATCTTCCTCCATGGTTCGGACAAGGTCAAATAAAATATATAAGAAGTTCTATTTTGGCCAATTTGATTGATAGTGGTCACCAAATGGACAAAAATAGTGCCTTTCGAACGGAATTCGAACTCGTCTTTTATACATAGCTGAAGCTATGGGAATTTGAGAGATAAATCCTAGTCTTTGCATACAGAAGAAGTTTGTTGTACCTTTGTCTCTCCCTTGCTTGCCTAGGTGAATTCTATTCAAAACCCTCCCACCCTTTCTTAGTTTCCATTTCCTTCGTACTTTTATGATGTTTAAGTGTTGGTTTTTAGGGATTTGATTGGTTACAGGATTTCATCATGAGCTGACATTGGTTAAAGAACCACTGGAAAACCTGCCAGGGAGTACCGGAGAGCTGTTTCATCCTACTTTGGGACTCTTCATCAGTTCGCAACCACCTCCAGGGTTAGAACCGGGGACCTCCTGGTTACAAGGCCAGCGTGCTCGTAGACCATTAAGCCACTGGGACCTGATCCAATCCAATGGCCAGCCCATGAATTCTAAATTCTGCCAATTCACGACATAGCGCGACAACTAGCCAATGTCTTCAGCGAGTATTTGTCCTCAACACCGACCTGATGCACTCTTTTGGTCACGACTTCTCACTAGAACCCCAGGTAACTACCTACCTGAATAGGGCCAGCCGCCAGTGAGCATCTCATAGATATTCAAGTATTGGTTTGTAGGGATTTGATTGGTTACCCTTTATTTAAATTCTGATTTTTCATGCAACCGGTTCCCTTTATTAGTTTGAAGAGAGAAAGAACGAACATGTTTGCAGATGTTGGGATGGGCCGCGTTGAGCTTCTCAAACATTGTGGACGCGTGTTCTGATTATTTGTCCACTTCACCTTTTGTATTACGTAACTTTTAAGATTTGACATAATTTATTTATTGAATTCTCTACATGTACACACAATATTACCTTCGTTATTCTTATCACTACCTGGATAAACCTTATTATCAATATTTGGTTATAATTATAATCATCGTTATTAACTACGTTCAAAACATTTACCACATTATTATTGTTACTATTATTATTACTGTTATCATTATTATTATTTGATCTATAAAATTACCGTCATTGGTTAAGATTTTTATATTTAAATCTATGTAAATTAGAGTAAAGCCTGAAGAAGATCTAATTGAAAACAATACTGTTCGCTTATATGTCTTGTTCTGATATGTATTATATACTCTGGGATTAATTAAAATAATTTATAATGAATCAATCTGACTCGGCGCTCAAATTATTCCAGGAAGTTCGTAACACCTACGGTCTAGTAACTTATAATATAGATATTTTCAAGTATTGGTTTGGTAGGGATTTTGTTTAATTTCATGGAGGATTTCATCGTGAGCTGACATCAGTTAGAGAACTACTGGAAAACCTAGGAGTACTGGACAGCTGTTTCGTCCTAGTTTGTGACTCTTCATCAGTACGCAACCACCACAAGGGTTCCAACCGAAGACATTCTAGTTACAATACTGGAGATCTCGTAGACTATTAAGCCACTGGGACCTGATCCAATGGCCAGCCCATGAATTCTAACTTCTGACAGTTCATGACATAGCGCGACCATTTCGCAATGCCTTCTTCGATGAGTTACTGCCTCATCTTCAACCTGCTTCTAACTGATGTCAGCTCATGATAAAATCCTCCATCCAATCAAACTAAATCCCTAGAAAACCAATACTAGAAAATTCATCTGATGCTCACTAGCAACTGGCCCTATTCAGGCAATTAACCTGGGGTTCTGGTGGGAAGTCGTGACCAGTAGAGTACAGCAGATTGAAAGTGAGGCAGTAACTCATTGAAGAAGTCATTGCGAAGTGGTTACGCTATGTCATGAATTGGCAGAAGTTAGAATTCATGCACTGGCCATTGGATCGGGTCCCGATGGCTGAAGAGTCCCAAGCTAGGACGAAACAGCTGTCTAGTACTCCAGGCGGTTTTCCAATGGTTCTCTAACTTATGTCAGTTCATAATGAAATCCTCCAACCCATCAAACTAATTCCCTAGAAAACCAATACTTGAAAATACGCATATATGACAATTTGACACTAGTCATTACAAATGTAAGACGGCTGCTTAAATATCTGTATTAGTACAAATGTCTATCGACAGGTGACCTTCAAAGGAACTGACTTCACTTTATGTAATTTTTGACTATATATTTTAATGATTAATAAAATCCGAATAATTCTGCTGAAGAAACTGTGGTGGCTTACACAGTGAAATGTTCAGAAAAATCTTGTTTTGATTTGTATTCTTAAACACGCTGGGATTATTATTTCAAATAATTTATAATGATACTATAAAAATAGTTTGTTACATTGCCAAAAGTGAAACAAAGTCTCCTAGGTTTTGATTGGCTTGAGAGTCTTGAATTATCAGAGTTATCATTAAGTTTTGATAGTGTGGAAAATTCCCATATTATGAATTAAAGGCAATCTGAACGAAGAATATTCTTTTCAATAATTTCTCCTCTTCAGGTTCTTACAATTATAAAATATAATATTTGTTGTTGTCGTTACAATAAAGGCCAGTTATGCGGCAGATACATTTTTAACGTAGAATAACAGATAAGATCGACTAAACCGGAACTTTGTATCCAAAAAGAACACGTCCAGACGCTGTTCCTACCGTGGCCAAACTTGGATTGATGATTCTTCCTCTCACCAAGAGTGCTCCTTCCCCTTAACCCTCTTGGCTTTTTTTTCCTTTGCTTATTATTACAAATATTATTATCACAATTATTATTATTAATATTATTGTTCGTCATAATGTATGCCCTTCATGCAAACATTCTCTCAATACTATCGAATTTTTTCGTTTATACTATCCGGACTTATTATTAGTGAAATTATCTCTTTTCTCAATATATGCCTCCACCTGTTTCATTTCACGTATTTGTTATCTCATTATGAACTTCCCATTGCAGTCTTACTATCTCCTGTTTAACACAGACCACTTTGTACTAGTCACTCACCTGACACCTTTTACAACCTTGAACTGACTTGTCAGTTTTCCTACCCCACACTCTACAAATCTATTATGATTAATTACCATTGTCTCCCGTTTTACAATATTTTGTAATCGATTTCAGCCTAGCACGTTTGTCACACAAATACGACTATTTATTTTGACACCCCATAACTAATCTGTTATTCTACGTTAAAGATGTATCTGCCGCATAACTGGCCTTTATTGTATGACAACAAATATTATATTTTATCATTGTAAGAACCTGAAGATAAATTATTGAAAAGAATATTCTTCGTTCAGATTATCATCAAGTGTTTTATATTCAATCAACCGAATACGACCATGTTAGCTATTAGTCAGCTATTGAGATGAAGAGAATCCAGTGACACGTGAATTTAAACTTTTAATGAATTCGTGATATAGTGCACTGAAATTAATTATATCCTTATCACATTTTCGGAAATAATAGTAAAACTGAAATTCAAATGTCCTTTGAATTTAGTTCAAAGTAGATTACATATATGATGATGATATGATGATGTTCATTTGTGAAATTATACTATAAAAAAACAATGAAATAAATCAGAGTCAGGTTTATTTATAGTAAGTGAATGTGTACTATAAGCAAATGAAAATAATTTTGAATTGTATTCAATCATACCATGAACATTGTATGAATAAATAAATAAATATAAGCGTGAGTATAAAGGTCAACATCACCTGTTATAGTACTACTAATTATTTAACTGTAAATAAGCGTATTCTGAATTATTTTATTATAGGACCCAAAAATAAAATTATTTTAACGAGTTGATCACGGATTGATATCATTTAGAGAACCATTGAAAACCAGCATGAGAGTACTGAACAGCTGCTGTTTCACCCTAGTTTGGGAATCATTGGCCGTACGCACCCACTGGGATTCGAACCCAGGACCTTCCGGTTACAAGGTAAGCTCGTATACCATTCAGCCATTGGGACCCGACTGAAAGGCCAGCCAATGAAGTCTAACTTCTACCAATTCGTGATTTAGCGCGACCCGTTGGTGGGACATCCATCCACACACGTGACATCTAATTGGACCTCACTGGTTGCGACTTCCCACTAGAACTCCGGGAAACTCCATGCTAACGAACTAGTTCACCCAAACAACTAGCCAGGATTCGGATTTGAGCTGATTTGGCTGTGTGAGCTCGGTCAAACCGGGTTCACCTCAAATCGAGAGAAGCAGTCGTCCAGCACTCGCTGATGTGTATGGTATCCAACTACTCATTTCACTTATTCAGTAGTAGTTGGTGTCACATATTTATTTTTTAACTTTGAACTTTGGTTGATCAAGGATTGATATCAGTTAGAGAACCATTGAATACCACCACAGGAGTACTGGACAGCTGTTTCATACCAGTCTGCGAATCATCGGCAGTACGCACCCACTGGGATTGGAACCAAGGACCTTCCGGTTACAAGGTAAGCTGTCCAGTACTCCTGTGCTGGTTTTCAATGGTTCTCTAACTGATATCAATCCGTGATCAACTCGTAAAAACATAACTAACCCTTACAAACCAAACTATAGAAAATAAAATTATTTGATTTTCAGATGTTGTATTTATAGGGATATGAATAACTTCGTTGCAGTATATCACAAATTCATAAAAGTTAGAATTCACACGGCGTTAGATTCCAAACCGCTAGCTTATTGGTAAACATGTTTTTCCTGTAACTTGAAGGTACTGAGATCTACGATGTGATCATGCGTGTGCACGGTTGAGGAGTCCTGGACTAAAACAAAACATCTGCCCAGTGTTGTTTGATTTACGATAAATCCCTTACTGGTGTCACTTTATGAAAAAGTTTACGTTGACATTTGTTGGTTACTATTACTGTTTCATTTGATGAATCGTTGTCAAAAAACAACACCTTAACGCAGGTCTAGTGGTGTATGGGCTCGACTTTTGACAGAAGGTGCTGGGTTCGAACCTCGGTGGGTGCGCACTACTACTTCCAGTGGTTCTGTTACTGATGACAGCTTATGATCAGACCTATAACCACTCCAATACCTGCAAACCAATACTTGAAAATCTAGAATGTGGTACGATTCAAACTAACTGCCTCCACAGTTGCCGGTCCGCAGCTCTGCTAGCTTAAGTATGTGACCAAAGACTAGCCTCTGCAACTAGTCGTTTTTATGATTGATTCAACTCAGGACCTTAATATAACGGAAACTAAATTCTTGAAAGTGCGTCAGTGGCACAGCGGTAGAATGCTCGCCAACCACGCATGTCGTCTGGCGTTCGATTCCCGACCGAAGCACTCCTTTACCTCACTAAGCCGGTAGAGAGAGGAGGTTAGGCGTGAGGCTAGCAACCCCATCCCGTAAAAATTCACACCACAGCTACCGAAACCTTAAGCCTCTAGTTTGAAGGCCTATGTTCCACTGGGAACGTAAAGGAATAAAAAAAATAATAAAAAAAACTTGGAAATTTATCTGATGCTCGTTTGTGGCTGGCTACAGGACCAAGTTGACTGGAGCGACTAGTGGGGTCCACCAGCTCGGATGTGAGGAAAAATACTCGCCGATAACATTAGCTGGCGGTCGTTAGAATTCATACGCCACTGAATTCCAGCCCATTGAATAGTCAATTTTTTCAGTCTGGTAATCTAAAGGTTACGGGCTCGATTCCCAGTGGGGTTGTGGTTGCGTTCAACTGAAGAATCCCAAAATATGACTAAAAGGGTATCCACTACTTTCTGGTTTTCATTGGATCTCTAACTGACATCAATCCGTAATCAACAAACTAACTCTTTAAAATGATAGAATATACCTAACACGTAATTTGGCGAATTTATTAGTAATCTTAAGAAGAAAATCTTTTCATGTTAAATCAAGGATATAGAGTTTAGAAATCACCAGAACATGAATTATGTTTCAACACATTCTTATTCATTATAATAAAGGTTTTTGTATTTCCCAATGAATGAAAAACAAAACGATATTTCGAGATAATACGGTCTGTCTGTCTGTCTTTGCCAACAAGATATCTTTGAGTACTTTTCTGCTATAACCTCGTAGATTTTTAAATGCTACTTCTACTACTAATATGCTTTGGATCACTTATATTTGATTGACTTATTGATGAAAAAGAAAAAAACTGTTTATGAGTCTTGCATTCAAAGGTGACACCATTTCGGAATTGATTAAAAATCGTTTATCTAAATGTATTAAACGTACTTTTCCTGCAGCTGACTTGCAAATAGTTTTTACCAGCCGAAATATGATTAGATAATGCGTTAAGGATAGATTACCGCTTATGTCCACATCTATGTGCATTTACTCTTTTACCTGCTCTTGTGGAGCTGTTTATATTGGACGTTGTAAGCGTAATCTCCGAAAACGTGTAGCTGAACACTATCTGGTTTGGTTAATGAAAGGCGAACGTAGAACTGCGAAGTCGTCTATCTGTGATCACCTGTTAGAGTCTGGTCATTTAGTCCCACGTGATTCATCTTTCAAAGTTATCTACATGGCAAAATCGAATCGATCCAAAAGTTTACGTTTTCTTCACTTATGCATAGCCGAAGCTTTAGCTATACATGAACAGAAACCTAAATCATATGTTCAAAAGCGTTTTGTCAAACCCCTTTCTTTACCTTGGTCATAGTAATGTTCTTTCTAGTTTTTATTTTACCACTTGAATTCTTTCCACTTCACATCTTTATTCTTATGGTAATCGTACTCCTAATTTTAAAATTTTTAGACAATACTTGATATCAATTCACTTATAAAACAATCTTTAATAATTTTGTAATTTATCCACTTCAACTCTACGCCTTATGACATTTTAATTATCGTTATTCTTATCACATATATACGTATGTATATTGACTGAGCAGTTATTTAGTGCCACTTAATAACCTTTTCTGTAATATAAATACGACTGTACAGCTTGAAAATGAAGTCGTTGAAAAGAAATTTCTTCGCTGAACAAAAAAACAACTGTGTTTTTACTGATGAATAAATGGGTATTTTTCGTGATTATTGATGATGAACAATAAATTGTGTTCGAAACCTCGTCATCCAGTAGATAATACTGTTAAATTGCACGTGTCAACTTTATTTTTCTTTTTCTATCCCAGAATATACATATTAACTTACCTTTGATTGGTTATCTTTGTCTTCCTGATTGGCCTATCAGTCTTTGTTTGTCATTTGAAGTGATATCGCTTAATTTGACTCTGTGGCTTGCTTGTTAGTCATTGGTTCTTACATATTATCCGAACACAGGATTTTTATTTATAGAAGCGCCAAAGTTAGAAATTGATTTCAGTATTGCTTTGATTTTAATATTGCTCAGAATAAATATGAGTAATTGTTTTGTTCAAGAATGCCTTTTAGACTTTACGTTTTGAACGGTTCACTTAGCTTGGTTTATTATTTTTATTATTTTATTCCTCTACGTTCTGAGTGGAACATAGTACCTTAGGTTACAGCCTTGAAGTTTTGGTAGTGAAGGTTTTATTTTTACGGAATGGTGTTGCAAGCCTCACGCCCAACCTTCCGTCCTCACCGGACTTAAACTACCGGTTAAGTGAGGTAAAGGAGTGCGTCGGCCGTGGATTGAACCCCACACCACATGTATGGTTGGCGGGCGTTCCTGCCACTGAACTACCGACGTACAGGAGCTCGCTTGGCCCATTTTGTTCAAAAAACACTGTCAGTATAGGATTTCTTAACATTATATGGTTGGAAGCAGTCGGGGGAAGTCTTGGATCTATGTTTCGTGTTTGTTGGCACTCATCAGCAAGGCGTATCTGCAACCTTGAAGGAACTCATGTCCAAGGCTTCCTGACGATTGCCTCCAACCATCTAATATCAATAATTCAAAGTGCACTGTGATGGCGAGCCACCTAGAATGGTAGTCTTATTGCACACTTGACTGATAGAACTCAGTCTGCACCAAATAAAGGACTAGAAACATTACATTAGTTACTAAATAGTGTCCAATCAAAATAGAGGATTTCATTGTTCACTTCGAGCAGTGATAACTGGATTATAAGAACTGATTGGTTCAAAGGAAACAAAAAAAACCCAGAACAATCAGAATCTATGTATGGCTAATTGACCAAGGCTCCCGACATCCAGCTACTGAACGGCGGCTTCGAGCATCACTTCATCTGCTGACATCTGGGCATCCAAATAGTTTCAATGGACTGCACATAACAGGTGTTGCTCAATGTCAACCTCATGAGAATGGAAGTGGCTGTCGAATCTTTTTTATAACATAAAGTTAAGACTAGATAATTCTTTAAATCATTCACCAATAAACACAAACAAGAAACTCACTCAGATGATCGCCTGCTGGAAGCGCGTGATGAAGACGGTGATGATGTAGATGATGATGACGATGACGACGATGATGATGATGAACTCGACGGAGAAGAGTCTTCTAATTCATCTAAATGTTCTTGCAGTGTTTGTGGTTGTTGAGCTAACTCCTCCTTAGTTTTAAATTCTAAGAATTTACTTCTCTTTGTAAAAAAGAATGCAATCAATGGATACAGCGGGGGAATTATTAAACCCATTAAAATTAGAGCGACTTTAGCTCCGACTAAATCACCTTTACGCAGGCCACCATACCATAAATCATTCAATATCGATTGAGTACATGGATGAGCAATGAATACTTTTGACTCGCACATATAGGCCAGACTAAGACAGGTGTTCTTTGAAAAAGCTTGTAATTCATAGGTCAATAGACGTTTCGCTTGATCTTGATCATGACGATAACAATGATCTTGTAAGTCGACAGCTAATCGTTCCAGTGCACTGTATCATTTCGAAGACAAAAATAAAATAGAAGGAGATACATGATAGAAATTTTAATCAAACATGTTAGCAAGTGACGAGCGTAATTCACCAAATATTTTTCATGTAGAGTAACCAACTCGGAGGATCGGTGATTCAACGGTAGAATGCCTGCAAATCACACATGTGGTTCACGGTTCGACTCCTGTCCAACATACTCCTAAAGCTCTCCTAGTTAACTACTGGTAGGTGGTAAACTTGTGAGAAGAGGCGAGGTTGTCTGTGAGACTGTAACACCACCCCATTAATAAAACAACACTTAAAGGGCGTGTATACTGCTCAGCAGTCCTCTCCGTCCTCCTTTATGGCTGTAAGACCTGGCCATTGAGAGCGGAAGACATGAAAAGGTTGGCTGTCTTTGATCATAAGTGTCTGCGTTCTATCTCTCATGTGTGTGAAGTGGTATAATAAGGTGAGCAATATTGAGGTTAGGCGTCGAGTGCTAGGTACGACGGGGAAACCAGTCGACGAGACTGTGAAATTACATCGACTGAGATGGTTAGGACATGTGTTACGTATGCCTAGTCATTGCCTTCCTCGACGGGCAATGTTAGCTGATATAGGGTCAGGCTGGAAAAGAGCTAGCGGTGGTCAAACCAAAACATGGCACCAGTCAATGAAATCCACAACAGTTAGTCTAAGCCACGCAGGAAGGTGTAGACTTTCTGGTTGGGGTCCTCGGGACGGGAAAAACCAATGGTTGGAAACAACTGGTGTCATGGCTCAAAATCGTTCTCAGTGGCGCAGATGCATCCACTCCTTGTGACTTATGATTTCCAATGAAACTGTTTTGTTCTTCGTTATTACTATACGCTTGTCTCTCACCTCTGTTTACTGTCTATATTATGCATTTCTCCTACTTTCTTCTCTTGTTTTGCGTGCTACAACGAGGGAGTGTGGCGACTTGAATTGCCGCACATATGTGCAAAGTTCAATGTCGAAAACCGACCGACCGCTTTACTAAGACTGCAATGCTTGAAGCCATATATTCCACTCGGAATGGGAACAAAACACTCCAAATTTAATCTAAACATTATCTATCTTTTGGTTTTAACACACAACAATTATACTCAAAAAACCTATGTCCTTTCTGTTTTCACTTCAGGGATAACAGGTGGAAAGTGATCGAAAGTCAGTAAACAAAAAAAGAGCTCTTTTCTTATACACACTTACAGTTCATGTGAACGAAATTCATTAGCTAACTCAATGTCAGTTTCTTCATCCAGTGTAACATGTCGAATACTGCGTAACAACTTCAACGCAAATAAAGCCTTGAGAGAGAGAAAAGGAAAGAAAGGAAGAAAGAAATAGACAGTCATTGGACGGATAGAAATTAAATATGAAACAAGAAAATTGCTTCGTTATCATTTTATCTTCTGAAAATTATATAAACTATAAGTCAGTTAAAGGAAAGTTCAACTATAATATTTATGAAGTAAATTTTCAAGTACTGGTTTTTTCGGGATTTTGTTTGATTCGTTGGGGGATTTCCTCATGGGCTGACATCAGTTAGGAAGCTATTGGAAAACCTGGGAGTACTGGACTCATCGACGAAGACATTGAGAAGTGGTCACGCTATGTCATGAATTGGCAAAAGTTAGAATTCATGGGCCGGCCACTGGATCGGGTCCCAGTGGCTTAATGGTCTACGAGCTCACTTTGTAACCAGAAGGTTCTGGTTTCGGACCTCCTGTAATGGGTGCGTATTGCTGAAGATTCTCAAACCAGGCTGACGAAACAGCTAGCTGTCCAGTAGTCCCTAGCAAGTTTTCCAATGGTTCTCTAACCGATGTCAGCTCATGATGAAATTCTACAACTTATGAAATGAATGCCTCTTTTAAACAAAATAAATCGGATAAAATTTAATGTCAGTGTTAGATAAGCGATGTTTGATTAATTATGTCTAAAATTTCATCTGATGACAGTTTATTTTGTTAAACTCAATTTATTATCATTCTCAAAACTCAATGACATAGTAAATAACGATTTTGAGGCAAGAACAATCGTTGCATGGTTCTCTCTCACCACCCACTCGTATCATAATCCAGATTCTCTTAGCTCATGATATGTTATATCGCAAGTATACCGTTAGCAGATAATTTCCAAATATCCCCTATCTATTGTACTTCAGATTACACTGTCTAGAAGACTACATTGGTCAGTGCATTTAGCAATATGCTTACAAGAGGAAAAGACTTAAAAACTACAATTTGAAGTAAGACCAACCCAATGTTTTATATTCTCGAATTTAGTGATTCCAGGCAACAGCAATCACTGATTCGATTAACGTGATACGATTAACATTAAAACGTTAGAATTCAAAAGATAGCAGGATAAAAAAATGGGGGGGGGAATTAAAATCAGCCGACACATAGATACTCGCCGAATTCAACAGTTTACTTGAAAGGGGGGGGGAAACAATATTTCATCCTAAAACCAACTGTGTTGTTTGAGATTGTTGTCAGTAAGACTTAAACTTAAACCCTTTAAAACTTCTAATGAGCCGAAACAATTTGCTTATAAACATGGTGGGTGTATTTTGGATGCCATTGTTGTCTTACATCATAATTTTTTTCATTCCTTTACGTTCCCAGTGGAACATAGACTAGCTTCAAGCTAGAGGCTTTTTTTACGGGATGGGGTTGTTAGCCTCATGCCCAGCCCTCCATTTTTTACCAGTCTCATTACTGACTTAGCGAGGTGAAGGAGTGCGTCGATCGGGGATCAAACCCTGGACCAAATGCGTGGTTGAGAAGCATTCTACAGCTGTACCACTGACTCACGCAAATATTGTCTCTATTTTGGACAGAGGTGCTAAATATGTTCGGTGTGTCTCCCTCAACTACAAATCTGCCTTTGACTCTATATCTAGGCCTCTTTTATTAAACAAGCTTGCTGAGATCTAAGCAGAGTGCTAGATTAGTAGAAGTTTGTATTCTTCCTTTTCTGATAGGAAGCAGTACGATATATATATGTATAATGGGAAGTCCTCCACTGCTTCACTTAATCTAGCTGGTGTTCCTTAAGGGACTGTTCCTTCCCCTATTCTGTTTTATTTCTTCTTATATAACCTACTTCATTCTGATGAAGCAAATTTTGTCAATGATCCGATTGTTTCCATGCCTGTTACCTCTCAGTCAGATTGTTCCTAAATGAGTAATTTTTTATCGGAAATTAGTCAGTGATTCTTGCCAAATGGGCTTAAGCTAAATCCTTCAAATGTCAGGTTGTTAACTTCATTTTCAGACGCAAGCACCACTTACACTAATTATCTCGTTCATATGGTTGTGATATGGTAGATGGCATTGCAGTTCAAACTAAGTCGAGTGCTAAATACCTTGGATTGTTTATTTCCCCTTTCCTGGTCTTCTGACATCCTGTTGGTTTCTAGAAAGATATTTCGTTTAAAGTTCTACATAAGGAAGTTAAGACAATCTGGTATCACTCAGTCTCTACTTTTATCGTTTGTTAATTCTTGTATTACACTTATTCTTCTTCATTGGTCCCTATTAATTTTTCCATGAACTACTTAAGAAAGACTTTTTTACCCTGAGAAAGGCACTAAAAGCTGTCAGTAGGGCAAATGGGGTACCGCTAAACCAACTTGTTATTACTGTTGTTGATAGACACGTGAATTCAAGCAAGAAATTAGCAAATATTTTATTTTCGGACCCTGGTTAGCCTCATCAGGTAGGAGAAGAAGCAACTACAAAAGACTATACACCCGGATGACTAAGTACAAACCCCCTACAATACCTTATTTAGCACACATCTGATGTGATGAGGAATGTGTAAGACGGGAAATTATCAACTTGCTACGGGACTCTAAGTAAATGGTCCTCTTTTATTATTCTTTCTTCCATTAATATATTGTTGTCAATATTTCCACATAAATTTTAATTTTACATTCATATTCTTAATTAACAGGATTTTCAATGGAAATGCCTTGTTAAGTATCCCCCCGCCCCTTACTGTGTAATGTAAAGAGAAAGTTAGATGAGCGATTGTACTACATGCTGAAAATTCCACATTGTATCAAATGTGCTGTTTAGAATAAAGCCATTATTATCATTATTATGTAAGGTGATGAGAATATTTCGGCTTTCTAAAAGAAGTTTAAAGTTCCTAAATAATGAACTGTATTCAATGTACCGTTAACAACTCAACACTAGTGGACAAATTATCATTGAAAAGTACATGAAATTTCGCATTTTGTTGTTTCCACAACTGTTCTGTGCACTGATGCGTAAATGTAATTTTCATGCCTAAAGTTCAGTGCATACAATCACAAACCCAGAAATGTACTCATAGAATACAAATATAGCCAAATGTATATCTATATATTGATGTTACACATAAACATTAAACTAAAACAAGAAATGTGAAAATTATTTGTACACATTTATAAAAGATTTTTCTAAAAGAAAATCTTTGCTAGACTGATTAGTCAATAAAGAATATTCCCTCCAATGACTTCTTCATCAGTTTCCACAGTAGTAATATATCCATAATAGGCAAAGAATAAGTGTTATTGTCAACTGATCAAAGGCTAAGCGCGTTGACTAGTCACTTTTTCAGTTACCTATTAATTCAACTGCTCCTGTGGAGCCAGTTATATTGCCTGTTGCCCTAGGAACTTGATTTTTGTGACGAAATAAAGGTGTAGTAAAAACAATCAAACTTCGATCTTGTGAAACCTAGTTCGAGCGGACTATAAAGCCAACATTGGGGAGTCTTTTTCCATCGTCCATCATGTACTAAATAAATCGCCGAAGGTGACTAAGTACCGAATACCCCAAGCAGCAGAAGACACAGCAATTTGCTCAAGACAACCAAAACTGTTTCTCCAAAAGAAACAACTTCAGTGCCTGTTGTCGCCCTGGAGTTCTTTGAAATCTGTTAATCCGTAAATTCTGTATGATTTTCCTTATTTATTTGATTTTCGGTCTAGTGTTAAATTTATGCATATCATCACATGCACTAATGTTTTGAACAGTAGTCTATTTGTGGTCTGCTCACATATACCTCTTGAAATACTCATGGCAGTGATTTCATGTTAATTAAAAAACAATAATGTTGTCAATAACAATAATTGTTTACTTTTCAAGAGTTTGGTTTACAAGGATTAGATTTGTTAGACAACCATTGAAAACCAGCACAGGAATACTGGACAGCTGCTGTTTCGTCCTAGTCTGCGAATCATCGGAAGTACACACCCACCACAGGAGGTTCGAACCCAGGACCTTCCGGTTACAAGGCAAGCTGGCTCGTATACCATTCAGCCACTGGGACCCGACTCAAAGGCGGCCAGCCCATGAATTCTAACTTCTACCAATTCGTGATTTAGCGCGACCACCAACCGATGTTTCCTGGGGTTCTAGTGAGAAGTCGTGAACAGTGAGGTCCATCCAGTCGGGAATGAGGATGGAGTTTCCACCGATGACATTGGTTGGTGGTCGCGCTAAATCACGAATTGGTAGAAGTTGAAATTCCCTAACTGATATCAATCCGTGGTCGAACTCGTATAAACAGATTATTCTTCAACTATTACGGACACATTACTGCCAGAGAAGTTGATAAAAGAGAATGCTCTTCGTTCACTAATCAGTCTTTTATAAGTTATAGTAGGTATCCTCGTTAGATTTTTGAAGGATCTCTACGGAAAGTTGTGTCCAACTAACGTTTTTTTTGAAGAAATTAGTGACTCTGTATGGAGTGCGGTAAGCAAACACCTAATCAACATTGATCATTCCATCTCAGCAAACGCCGCCTTCAAAGTAATCTACTAAGGGAAGAATAACCCACCAAAGGCAATACGCTTTCGTCTCCACCGCAATGACTTTAACCATTCATTAAGAGAAACTGGAGTTATGCATACAATAGAAAATTATTCTACTATCATGGTAACAACCTTGTTCGTTCCTACTGGCTTGATTTTTGTTTGTTTGTTTCCCTAACTCCTTATAACTATTTTATTTCTTCACAACTCTTGCATAATTCCATACTCTCCTTCGTTGCTGTGTGCATCCTGATTACAATTCACCTATTAAATTATTCATCTTATAACATAACTTTAATACACTTAATCAACCCTTCTTATGCATTGACTAACAACTTATCACTTTTGTTGCTACCCTCTTTCATGAAGAACGACTTGTATATAAATGCGATTGTATAGATAGAAGAGAAAGTGAAATCGCCGATAAGATCGTCTTTGCTGAACTACTTGCCCTGCTTTTTACTCAATTATCATCACTCATCAGTAAAGGAGCACCTGAAACTTTAAGAAAACTAATGCCCTCCCCCCCACTCCATCTACGAAGTTCATATCCATGTGAGCTTAGTATTAGTAAACTGTTGTACAACAGAAACCACGAGTGACATCTGTCTTCTTTTGTAGTCATATTGAGTACAAATGAAGGTCAAGTTAATCTTCCGGGAACATTGAGAAGGGAACCGCTGTACCGAAACATCTACCTTACTAACTACAATATATATTAGAAGTTAATTGGTGGATGGTGACTAGCATTGGAATCCAGGATGCTCATTTCATCCTATTTGCGATTCCACTGCTGGTCACCATCCACCAATTAACTTCTAATTACATGCTTGCACATCATCGAAGCATCTAGACAAGAAGCTGACATGTCAACCTGAGACCTGGCACTTCGGTCTAATCAATCGATGGGAAAGTCTAAAATTGAATTATACACTATGTATATATGCATTTGATATGTAGATTTCACTCAGTACATTAGCGATCAGATGAATGCACTGGCCGCTAATTCTTATGCAGAATTGCCTGAGTAGATGACAAGAATCCATTAACACCAACCAAAAATGTTCCTTAACCAAAAAAGTTTTTGTGAAATGTCGAAAAGTTAAGATATTAAGAAACTGCTGTCTCCAGCCACACGAATGATCTGAGTTCAACTCCTAACCGACGGACACACTTCTAAGCCCCGCCCACTTTACTAACCACTGGTAATCCTGAGAATAAGGGAAGGTTGGCAGTGAGGTTAACAATCTCACCCTGTAAAAAAAACACATCATCATTATTGAAACTCCTAAGTTGCAAGCCTTAAACTCCATTCGGAATACACAGGAATGAATGAAGCTAATAAGTCAGTTCGTTACTGCAACAAGCGTTATCGTAGTTGAAATGTGAACAAGCAGTTTAATTCTTTCAGGTAGCTCAGTTGTAAAAGTGCTCTTGAATGATCTTCCTTTCACTTATTTTTCCTGTAGATGTAGACTGGTTAGGAAATGTTGATTGTAGTTAATAATGTGACGAATTAGTTGATAGGCTCAAAAGTTTGAACCTATCCAGTTTATTCGATCACTCTCTTCAAAGCACTACAGAGTAAGTGAGAAATTCACAGCCTAGAGAATTTGAGGCATTTCGTATCCTCAGTATGATTCTGTTTGATAGTAATATCGTTCTACTCTGAGAAGAATTATTAAGAATCAAGAGTCTTCATGTAGGAATTCGTATGATTTCTGACTCTACTATACAGTATATCACTCTGCACTGCCTAAGAAGAAAAATAGTTTGATCAGTAACCAGTCTCCATACGGAAAGTGATATTTTAACTTAAATAACTATCTGTCCTATGTACTTAGTGGTTACAATTCAATCAGTTTCACTGCCTTCATTGGTTACGTAATACATTATTTTATTTTTATTTCTTTATTTTATTTTGATTACAGCTTGATTCCACGCCGTATTTTTGGTACAGGTATGGAATTTTCAGCATGGATATCGGTAGCCCAAATTTTGCAGGCCGACCATAGATATCGGGTGTGCGTCGGCAGGGGATCGAACCCCGGACCATGTGCATGGTCGGCGAGAGTCCTAACCACTGTGCCACCGACGCACATTAAGTTCGCATAATCATTTTGGTTTGTATTCCAACTCTCAAAAAACTGCTTCATAACAAAAACTGTCAATGATTTTGTTAGGCCTTTCTTCTGTAAACATTCTGGAGCAATTAATTAAGAAGATACTTGAGAGTGGTCATTCTAACTCTTAAAGTCCCTACCAAAACTACTGCTTTTTTCCCCGACAATAACCAACTATAGATGATTTTCAAAATAGGGATGATGAAATCTCGTCATACTGTTACGCTGATCCATATTACATTTTTGAGTGTTGCAGGGTGATTTGATTAGTTTTAAGGCAGACCCCAATAACTAACCGACATCAATTAAAGCACTATTAGAAATCAGATAGCTCTAGACAGTTGTTCCACCCAAGTTTGACATACTTCTTCAATGATTCTGTAAGTGATGTGGATTCATGAAGAATTCTAGATTGAAATCAATCAAATCGTTGTAAACTCAACAATTGGAGATTACCTTACTTCTTACTAGTAACCGTCTACGGAATGAATTTCCCAAAGTTTCCAATAGAAGTGGAAACCAAATACGCCAAATCACTGACGATTTGCAATTTACACAGTTAGAGGAGGTGAAATTCCACTACAGTTTCCTTTAGAAACTGAAATTATTCAGATCCCAATATCTGAACTGCTTCATAGTATAAATGATAATTAAAACACGAAGTATAAATGCAGGATGCTACATACTACTGATTGACTCATATGAGCAGTTGGATACCACTTATATCAACCAGAAGTGCTTGCTGGTGAGCCAAAATCGAAGTGATTCAAGCACCAAACGACCTCTTCACTCGTTTTGCGCCCAGTTCGTCAGTGGTGTATTCGGTTTGACTCGATTCAGACAGCAGACGCATTTTAAAGCGACTACTTAAATCCAACTGTCAGTAGTATAAAACATCACGTATAAATGAGGAGAGATACTGATTGGTATTGGTAATGGCGTGGATTGATGAGATGTTAGCACTTACCTAAGTATACAATGATGATTATTTAAGCGAAAGACTGAGAGATGAAGTACCTAGACTAGCCACTTCCAGTTGTATCTACCAATTCAACTGCGCTTGTGGTGGAGCGAGTTATATCGGCCATTGCTCTAGGAACTTGATTTTTCGTGCTCAAGAACATCTCCAAGTATGGTTAAGGTAAAGGTGTAGTAAAAACCATCAACAGTTCGTTATCAGACCCTCTGGTGCATAAAGGTCACATAGCCAGCCAGCATTGAAGAATCATTCTCTATCGTCTACCGGGTGCCTAATAAATTGCCAAAAACATCGAAGTACCGCATGCTTCAAACAGCAGGGGCTACTGCGATTCGCGTGAAAAAGCCAGTGCTTTGTGTGCAAAAAGAGCAAGTCCAGCCACTACTACTACTCTGGCCTTCAGTGGAGACTAAAAATTCATCAATTCTCTATTATTATCTTTCCTAACTTTTCTGACATTCAGTGTGTATTGCTATGTTGATGCTATTGAACTGTAATCTATTGATGTAATTATTGATTCGATGTTATTTAAACAACATTAATGTTGTTAACAACACTAATTCATTCACTATTATGGATGCACATAGCTGTAGAGCCTGATGATGAAGTTATCGAAAAGAGTATTCTCTGTGATGATATTGGATGGTTAGAGGCAATCGGCCACAGGAAGCCTTGGACCTAGGTTTCGTGCTAGTTGGCACTCACCAGTCACCAAGGCATATCTGCAACCTTAAAGGAACTCATGTCCCTTGTGAGATTCAAACCCACGTCACCCAGTGCTGCAGTGAGAGACGTTACCACTGAGCTATTCAGGCTCGCGATTGACCTCCTGTAGGACTATAGTGGATATTTTGATTTGAAACTAGTAACTAGTGTGATGTGTCTAGCTCAGTGGTAACGTCCCTGACTGCAGCACTGGGTGACGCGGGTTCGAATCTCAGAAGGGACATGAGTTCCTTCAAGGTTGCAGATATGCCTTGATGACTGGTGAGTGCCAACTAGCACGAAACCTAGGTCCAAGGCTTCCTGTGGCCGATTGCCTCTAACCATCCAATATCATCACAAACAATGTACACCGTGATGGCGAGCTACCTAGAATGGTGGCCACATTACGACCTGACTGATAGAATTCAATCTGCACCAAAGAGACGCATCACAATAGTTACGAGTGTCAAATCAAAAGAGTATTCTCTGTTCAGTACCAATTCTTCTGAAAATTTAAGTGGGCATTTTTATTCAGCTATATATATCTATGTATATATATATATATGTATCAGGCAGTGAACATAATAACCAAATCACCACTTACCTTTGCAATTGATTCTTCACCAGCCAATACTAAAAATTTCGCCATATTTAAACGTCTAGTCAACAGTGTCCATTGTAATAGTTCAGTGTAAGGATAACGAAAATATCGATCAGATAGATTGATTTCATTAGCAGAATTTGATGATGTATACGGTAAATGCTGTGATGCAGAGTGTTGACGAGTTATATTATTATTAGCAGCAGGAGTAGTTGTATTAGTTGTAGTAGTAGTAGTAGCGTTTTGAGTAATTGGTACTTTAGGTGTAATTAAAGCGTTTATCTGATTTGGATGAATTGTACAACAGGCTGGCATTTTCTCCGATACAACGAATGATGAATTGTTTGCACGTAAAGGTTTATGATGGTTATTATTAGTATTGTTATTATTATTATTGTTATCTGATTGTCCTTGCTATAAGTAAAAAATAAATAAACGAAAGATACTACTGATTAAGACATTGGTAGCAAGATAAAAAGCAAGTAGTTTGTTCACGTAGAATTAGAAACGTAGGACAAGTAAAAAGACTGACTGACCGACTGATTTCTTATTGACGTAAGTGTAGAACTTTGTCCCTGTGGTAAAATGTAATTCCATATTAGATGAGTTTATTTGGAATTAATAGTGTTCTCTGAGCTGGTTGGTTTAGTTGCGGAGCTTTCGTCGTCCTTCTGGACAACATCCCCCTTCAGCGCAATATTTAGCATAAAGTGAAATGATTTAAATTTCTTCATGAGTGATATAATTGCGTCTCCTGGTAACTATCTTTACATATGTATTGGCCATTTTCTATTGACTTGGATTTTAAACTTTCTGGTCACCTGATTTACTTTTTATTAGTTGGTATATTTCGTCTATATTAACGTGTTTGTTAATTGCATATTCGTTTGAGTACCAGGCTTCTAGGAATTCCCTGGCACTTTTGGTGTTTCCTCTGTCTAAGATTTCGACATTATCCCAATCGAATTGATGTCCATAATTGTCTATATGCATTGATACTAAAGAATACATATTTAGACTCAATAGATCCAATAAAGATGGATAATACAATTTAGCAAGTACTATTCAATGACTGTGAGATCAATTACATAGGTCATCGGGGTCAATTAGATTATCGGAACATGAATTCAGCTAGATCAAGGATGACTGACCCTAGAAAAAAGAATCTTTGTTTATCGATTCAACACTGCACACGTTCAATCGGAAAACAGAGGAAAGTGGCAACAAACGACAACGAGAAGAGGGCGAGAGAAAGAGAGAAAAAATGTATACGAGACAAACTGTGAAGCCATGTGACTAACACTAATACGATTATGAGTGGCAATAATTTATGCTCAAAACACCGTCCAGGTGTTAATATTGCATCAATCTTTGTGTCATATTTCGAATATACTCAACCATTATTGGGATGACTGCTTTAGAGTTTAAGCACAGTAATTTGCATCAAAGAGAAGCAGTTCAAGTTTCAAAACTTCATAAAGCAAACATAAATATTAGAGAAAAAGGCAAAAAGATGTGAAGCAAATATAACGCGCGGGAATTTACAGCAGAAAGAATAAGCATGTGGTGAATAATAAGGATTTAACGAATTTTAAAGAACGAAAAACGTGAATGCATCTGTATCGGTCAGAATGATTTTGAGCTATACTACAAACAGACTTCAACCACTGATTGCCAGTATCAAGAAAACATCAATCAGACAGTATTCATCTAATTATGTATATCAAACCGACAGTCAAACGCTCTAATAATTAACATCATCAATTGGTTTGACCATATGGCTTGAGTAACTCATAACCTACCCATCTTAATTAATGTTGATGCACAACCTAATCGATTAATTTTAACTCCTTACCTAACATTCTACGCCTAAACGTAGTATAATTCAGCATATTGTACCATCTAACATGAGAGGTATAACGTAAATATCTATAATCAAAGACAGCTAGCTTCTTCATCTATACCTCCTTCAATGGCAACGTTTCACAGGCATAAAAGAGGCACACATCCACTGATTAACAGCCAGGTATTACATCTACACCAGAGATAATGTAAGTTGACGAATGTCACAAAAGTTTGTTTATATCGTCAATCTTTAAGACTTCTAACTGTATGTATCAGTTTAAGTTTATTCATGCGAACAAATACGTTGATTGTAGGGAAAGGTGACTGTCTACTGAAAAGGATCGAGTGGTTGCACACACAAGTAGTTGAAAAACAGCTGGAGTCAAGATATCAAACATTCTGAAAACAGAGTATCTTATAGACTACAGACATGGTATATATATAACACTATGTAGATTAATCAGCTGAGGAGTCGTAAATAAATTTTCTGAATTCGGTAGATTCTGATTGGTTAAGATTTCTTATTTCTTTTAAGTTCATACTGAGAAGCCAATGTTTCCAATTTCAAAAATATTTGGTACTGGCTAGACAGGCTGAAGAGATCAAAACACTGGATAGCTGTTTCACTCAGTAAGGTACGACCGAATAAACCCTGTATCAGAATGGACCCAGCTCAGAGGGGTAATTCGTAAGTGACATATGTGATTCTGCAGCCAATGGAGCGTCTTTATCTGAAAGAAAACTGAGGTTAGGTGCAAATCCGTAGAAGGCGTTGCATCTGAACAGTTTGTTAAGAGTACTGATATTAAATTAATTTCAATAAGCACGAGACCTATGGTTCAGCACAGTTTTCAACTAACTACCTTTAACCAAAAGCGTATTGACCTAGGATAGGCAAACTTGACGGACAATTAAGCATTAAAAAATGCAGTCTTAATTACGTATGTGTGATTAAATCACGAGTTGACAGTAAGGCATCTAACCTCAGGAGGAGATGATGAAGGCTTTATCTGAATACAGACAGACCTTACTGGGGATTATAAATAGAGGAAAAGTTTAAGTTAAATATGATTTACTATCAGTTGATTTTTAATGGTTAACAGAAAATATTACAAAGATTTTCATGGTTGGAGGATTTCATCATGAGCTGACATCTGTTAGAGAACCATTGGAAAACCTGCCATGGAGTACTGGACAGTTAGCTGTTTCGTCAGCCTAGTTCGAGACACTTCAGTAGTAAGCACGAACCCCAGTGGAGTTTGAACCCAGGACCTCCTGGTTACAAGGCTAGCGAGCTCGTAGACCATTAGGCCACTGGGTCCCGATGATCCATTGGCCAGTCCATGAATTCTAACTTCTGCCGATTCATGACATAGCGCGACCACTTCGCAATGTCTTCTTCGATGAGTTACTGCCTCACCTTCAACATGCTGTACCCTACTAGTCACGACTTCCCACAAGAACCCCAGGTTACTGCCTGAATAGGGCCAGTCGCTAGTGAGCATCCGGTCAATTTTCAAGTATTGGTTTTTTATAAGGATTCTGTTTGATTGGTTAGAGGATTTCATCCTCAGCTGACATATATATGTATATATTGATGGCTAGAATGCATATTTGTTCTGTAGGCTTTGATTAGCACTTAAAACTAATCAAATGCACTGTTTACTATCTACTGACTGTAAAATACTAAATCAGTTTTGAAAGAGTAGAGTAGTTTGGCTCGCGCGCCACCGAGATAATAAGGTAACCAAATGTACTATGCAAAAAGCTTTTTTTATTTTAGAAAATAATGTGGATGTATTTGTTGAAGTGTATACACTGACTGAGTTATTGAAGTGAAAGGAAGAGAGAAAAACTTATGAAATAAAGTCGACATTACCATCTTTCAGAATTCTTTTTTCCCCATTCTATTCCTATACTTTCCTAGTGGAACACGTAGGGCTTTAAGCTAGAGCAGTGGTCTTATTTTTACAGGGTGGGGTTGCTAGCCTCACGCCCAACCTTCCCTTTTTAGTGTGCCTACTCTACCGGTTAAGCAGGTTTAGGAGTGCGTCAGCTGGGGATCGAAACCCGGACGCCATGTTTGGTTGGTGGGAGTACTACCGCTGAGACACCGACGCAAAACTACATTCCCAACAGAATGACTATGGGCATCGGTTTGAAAGGTGGAAGGAAAGCCGAAAATGATCCGATCCTATTTGAGGTTGATTATTAAAACATAGAGAAGACAGAGGTGGTTAAGATACGTAACCACCACCACCAGCAACAACAAGCACCAATTACTATAAACGGGAAAAATTTGAGGGAAGTTACCACTTTAATTTACTTAGGCATCATCATTTTAACTACGGGCGACCGGTGCGGATAAGGATGCCATGCTAGTTAGGATAGAAAAGGCAAGACAGATGTTCATTACCCTAAAATCAGTGTGGAAATCTACTGTAATCAGCACAAATAACAAGATTTGGATTTTTGATACTACTATCAAGTCAATGATTCTGTATGTTTCAAGACTTGGTGTGTTATCAAACATCATCGAACGGGCTTCAAACTTTTATCGACAGCTGCCTTCTCTGACTCCATACTAAAGATTAGATGGCTGACCAGAAAGAATAACCTAGCAACATGGATCTCTGGTAACAAAACAATCAAGAACCTTTTGCTAAAGAAATATGCCGAAGGAAATGGAGATGGATCATATACACGTTATTGACGAAACCGCTAGTTGACGTAGCGCGCCAGACAAAACCTTGATTGGAACCCGAATGGGAAACGAGGAACTGAGCTTAGGTCAAAGGAGATCGTGTCATGAGGATACGAGAGCCAATGGACAGTCGTGAAACCAGCTAAACAGGACTGCAGACGATAGAGTGAAATGTAGATGTGCTACTAAAGCGCCATGTTCCCCTAGAAATCGAAGGGACCAGTAATAAATATTAATGATCAATCATTCTTCATTGTATTTCCCCTATAAGATTATTCTTAGAATTGTAATTCCCCTTCTCACATTCCTTATTCACTAGCATCTTTACTGACAGATAAGTTATCATTGCTTTCCTGAAGAACTCGCTCCATTTGGTCTCTATGATGTATTCATATAGGACATCACAGTGGAATGAACTTAGCTGATAATTAACATCTGTTGTTATAGTTTTTTTACCATCTCAAAAGAAAAAAACAATGATGTGTTATCATTTAGTTTAGCAGCTTTTGTTTGACCTATCGAGATAAATAACTACTGATAAATATTTTAGAACAAAATAAATAATGTATGCTCATATCCCTGGAAAATAATCAGTCCCATAGACACTAGATTAACATAGGCTTATTATTATTATTATTATGAAACAGTGTATAACAATTAAACTTTGAGTTAGAACAACCAGGGATGATTGAGTGGGAGAAGAAGCAGAAGCAGAAGAAAAGAAAAAGAACAGAGATAGAAGGGGAAATTGAGTTTTAGAGCCATGAATAAAGCATTGAATAGACAATATTGGGTTTTGGGGGCAACTGACTCTCCACTCAAAAGCAAGTAATTAGAAGAAAATATGATTTAGGACTTCTGTTTT